ACATGTGATGAAAGAAAAACACTTAGTCACTCGTCTTAATAACGTTTTCATCATGAACATCAAACACCAACGTGCATGCCATTCACATTGTCCTACCCCCCCCCCCCCCCCTCTTCCAATACTTTAGAGCTGCGACATACCTAGATATTTCATAGACCTGGCAGAATCTAATGGCGCATTGCCCAAAATTAATATAAGCTCGCTTTTGGCAAACAGGTTGTCTGTCAGCGCGTAGCTGAAGGATGACGAAATGATCTTTTATTATGGATAGTCTGTTTGTTATGATTACCAACATTTCATATGCAAAAATAACAAGCACGAGTCGATCAAGTTAATTAGCTCTCTCGCTTCCCTGCGTCTCCCCCGCCTCTCCCTCCTCACTATGAATTCTGATAAACTGGCTACAAACTCCCGAGAGCATTTTCAGCAGTTCATCCAGATTTATTCGAATCCCCGACTGGTTATAGTCTCCAGTACCCAGGCACGTAGCCACGGGGGGGGGGGGGGGGGGGGATTTCCAAGATCGGTTGAACTTTTTTAGGCCCCTCCCCATGACGTCGATCAATTACATGTATGTGCCCCCCACCCCACACATCAAACTCTGGCTACTGCTCTGCCAGTACCTCTTTCTTTCGCGCTGAAAATATTCATAATGTGTGATTACAAAAACCGCGCCAACAGTGTACAGAATATATGACATATTGTCGCCGATGGACTTTTCAGCCTAACAGCCGACTTCATGACGACCGAACATTGAGACGAAATGAACGGTTTGATTCCTTATATAAGATTGAAGCACTTAGAGGTTGTTTTTTACACGCATCAGCAGTCGTGGACTCTACGAGGTACGTGTCAGAGGTCAACTAAATCTTGTATTCTGTGCGTGAGGCTGCATTTCAGGAGATTGTGTCGGGATGACGTGAGGGAATCAGAGAACGAATCATTGATACAGGCTATTACATGTATAACCACCCCTCCCCCCCTAACAATCAAATAACATATACTATCTGTGAAGATATTTCTCTCCTTTGGGTCCGATTTTTTTTTTCTCTCTCTCTCTCTCTCTCCGACCCCCCCCCCCCCCCTCCCCTCTTTGGCTTCCTATCATTCTCTCTCTTTTTATTCCTCTTTCTCCCTATCTCTCTCGATCTGCCTCTCTCTGTCTCTCTCTGTCTGTGTGTTGTGTTTCTCTCTTTCTCTCTCTGTTATAAATATCTTTCCCTCTCCTCTCCATTTCCCTCTCCTCTCTGTTCCTTTCTCTCCATTTCTCTTTCTTTCTATTTCTTTTTTCAAATACTTTGAGAGAAAAACATGATCTGTGGATCCAGGTGCTGCATGTGTTGTCCCATATGATATCACAGATACCATTGAATATTTTTAAGTTAATTTATTAGCAATATTCAACGGATCGAGTAAATTTGTTTTCAATTTGAGGATTTCAAAATCCATGTAATACCCCATAGATCCTATTTTCTAAAACTTTGAACACTTTAAATCGTGCCTAGACAGTTTCTTTCACAATTTACACATGATCATGTTAATGCAAGTACTCAAGAAGAGATTTGAGGGAGCAAATTTCATGAGCAGAGTAAAAAGAAATTATGTATATATGCAGGGATGACTGACAGGTAATTTCAAGAAATTGCAGGATATTCCCTTCTATCGCGGTAACTTTTAGAAATTGATGGTTATTTTAGAAATTTCAATCCCCCAATCATGATCATGGGGTAAAACGAAATCCAGTTAGGATGAAAAGATAATATGCTTGTAATGACTCAGATATTCTTTTTCTTTTTATTTCCTTATATATTATTTGCTATAAGAGGTTGAAAAAAGACGGTGAGGGAAGAAAAAAATCATCACGCATGAAATTATTTGTTTGCAGTTTCTTTAAACGTTGCCTGTTCATCTGAGACCACAGGTGTCTAATTCCCCTATTTCTTTTAACTCTAACTTTCTTTCAAATTCATACTGCCTTTATTACTAAGACGATAAAACAATAAAAAAAAGGCTGAATTGTTCTTCTGAGACTTGTCATAAAAATAATAATTCATATAGGCCTTGCCGTGTTGAATGAGCTAAATTACAACTTGACCTACCGGTAATCAAATACATCAACATTTCTTTGTACACAGTCAGTTTGATTTGGATTAGTTATAGGTCTGCATCTTTATATACAGTACATAATAATACAGGGAAATCCAGCCTTGATAGTAATCTAAGCAGAAAAATAATCCCTATCTACACACTGTACATACATGTAATCATCTACCTTTCCAAAGCGCTTACAGACAGTTTCTTTCAAGTTCTTCTCGCATTTCACCAGAACTTAACTTTATCTTTCATTCAATGTGGTCTGGATTAATGCAATTAGTTACCGGTAATGGCTTTTAATGGGTAGGACAAGATTGAGATCGCCAAAGTATTTACATCAACATCAAACAAACCAAACAGCTCTAACATTTCTTCATTTCAATTCATGATTTTTAATGGAAATGTACACTCTGGGAGCAAACAATATGTCACAACACTTTTATACAAAGTAATGCTTCCAACTTGCCTTTTCACATACATGTATTTATGTAAAACATGAAAAGTTTTTTAGTCAGGATCCATTATTCTAAGATGTCATTGCAAATCAAAATAAACAAAACAAGTCATAAATTGTCTCAGTATATATCTGATTTCATTGCTCAAATAAAATAAGTATGGATAAACTGTTCGATATCAAGTGATTTGGGTGTTGAAGAAAATGACAAGTTCTGGGAAAGGTTATTTTATGTCGAAGAGTATCATTGAAAAAATGTCCCCTGGAAACAAAAATGGCTCTCAAAATGCGTTAATATTCACAATATGACAAGTAACTGCTGATGGTCGTGGACCACACTTTTATGTCACATGTTTGTGTAGTCCCATATAGACATATCTGTGTACTTTGAGCAAGAATGGGCCAATTCATTATTTTTTTGATGATTCCAAAGCCTGACAGTACACATCAGTTCTCATGTAATCAACCTTTTCCTATCACTTTCACAATGCAATTGCATGATCAGAACTCAACTTTATCTTTGACATACATTTTCCACAGACCGCAGCTACAGTTTGCAGGCTTAATAGTCATCGAAACATCAAAAGCTCCTCATCATGTTTTATTAGTCAAACTGAATGTAATATTTTCAGTGGCCCATGAGGCATGGGCTTGCATCAAATTAGGCTACTTCTCTGTTGACGATTCTTTGACCGAAACAAAGATTTATTCCTCTTTAAGGACATTCCACAGCAATGTTCATGCGCAGCTGATCATGTATTTACTACACGCAATACTAGGAACTCCTGTCATTGTGCTTGGTGAATACATAGTCAGCTGGACCTGCACAAATAAGGTGCACGAAAACAACCCTGAGGAACATCCCGGAGGAAGACAATCATTCTATTCCCGCAATGTGGTATCTTTTCTGGCCAAAATAGTTTGGATTTCTCCCTTTTCAGATAGAAGAAGAACAATTGTGACCATTGCAATAGCCTGCACTTAATAGATAAATGACATTCGGTTGTGGTAAGTATGAAAATTGTTCTTACAGCATGTACATGTCATGTTTTGACATACTTTCCATTATGCTTTTTCAATTTGTTAATGGCATACCGTATATATAAAAAAAGTTGTTTGTAGCTAATAACTTAAATATGCAAAAATAATAGATTAAACTGCATCTCAAAGTGCTTTCCGTGTCTAGAGCAAATCTATTTCAAACTACATCTACATTAATCTACATAATATTTATGAACAATCTTTCTACTCTGAAAAGATAAGGATTATTGTTCTAACTAATCATCACGTTATTTCATAACATAATACACAAACACACTATACAAAAAATAAGTAGAGTCGAGGTTATTTCTTCAAATGGATAAACAAAAACAGGGGTTCTTTAAGAACATCAGATACCCAAAACATACAAGTTACTTACAATTCATCGCCACAACTTAAATGGAAGATATTTTTCTCTTTTGCCCTGTGAGAAAAACACCTAATTCTACAAGATGGGATAATATATCATGTCCCATAAAAAACTTACTTCATTCACGATGCCAGACAATGATTTCAAACAAATTAAGTAACCCATTTGCAAGTAACGGCAATAATTCTTGTACAACATTAACTGCAAGATGGAAGGATTTTAGCACAATGTAACATGATCTGAACTTCAAAAGTTACCCAATTCACATTCATGAAGAACAGTCTGAATACAGCTTGTGAAAATAGGAAATATCGCATGAAAAGTTGCATATTTCTCACTCATGTGAAAGTTTACATGAAAGTTGTCTTGAATTGTACTCTTCCACAAACAGTAGAAACTAGGAACCAAATTCTGATGGCTACAACCTTTTTAGTCAATCATATAACTATTCAATTTCAAACCACATGGATGTGTTTACCCCCTCTATAGACCAAGCTGATGATGTAGTATCTGTTTGGAGCAAGAAGGGTATTACTTCATATACTGTAACACAGAGTTAATGCCCTTCTGGCTCTGAGTAGAGAAATGATGTATTTCTAATGCCTAAGTCACATTTGCTCTACGGCTAGGATACAGTTGCTGTAGGCCCCTCAAAATCAAGAGATACTTGCGACGACCACAAAGGATCTGCGGTGCCCTCAGGGGCACCCTAGGGCGTATCCCTACATTTTTACAAGCCGAGGGGTCGCCGCGGAATTATAACTTTTTTTTGTTTCTAGGTTCGCCGCATGGACGCCCCAAGGCGACCGTGCATCATCACTTCAAAGGTTGTACGGTAGCCGCAGGTTTTCTGTCTCCACAAATTCAAAATACGCCGTGCACCTACCCTATTATATGTGACCATTACCCTACATGTATGTGACCGTTGGAAGGCCGTGGCGGTCCTATAATTGCTTTTGGCCGTAGATATTCTCGACCCCATGGCCGCGGCAGCAAATGTGACTTAGGCATAACAGAATACATGCCCTAACTTGCCTCTCCTCAGCTGTGACAGTTTCCATTACATCATTTGCTAGTTACCTTTTTCGTTCCACATTAGGAGTATACAGATAGGTATTTACAGTGTGATCAGATAATAATCCTTACTCTCGATAGTAAGGGCCTCAATCACATGATATATTCACACCATGGTGAGCGCAGTTGCCAAAAGGTACAGGGCACCGCTCTCTCGCGAGTTGCTGGCTTAATACTGTTCAGATGCGAGCCAAATCTCAAACGTAACACATTACTACCAGGGTTTTAATGTCGTCGTTAAATCTAACGAGAATGGATCCTTTCTCCCAAGAACAATGGCAAATTTGTGTTTACATGTAAATGAGTGACAAGTCGGGATAACAAATGTACCTGCGTGCAACACAGTTTCAATGCAAACTCATTATCTGTGTACTATTGGATGCAGAATGCGTATGACACTAAATATCATCATATTATAAAAAAAAGCCTCAACTGGGACTAAACTGGGTCTACTTGCAAGCTGACTCAAAAGAGTAATGGCCATCATTGGAACATTACTTGTGAGAATTTCATTCTCGACACCATCAAAACACAAGGTCTACCTATAAATCGAGGAGTCAGTAACACAAAGACGTAACTCCATTTTGGCCATTTTGAGAAAAAGTGGTTTATATGTCACTGAGCACTTTGGCCTTAAGGAGTCAAATCTATGTTTCACTAGCCATTGACTTCAATGTAGTGTTGGGTGGAGTTAAGTCTGTGTGTTTCCTGGAAAGCCCACATTTTTCTGAACATTTTGATATCAAATACTCATTTTGGAAAAATATGGAGTTACGTCTTTGTGTCACTGAACTCTTGAAATGTACAGAACATTTTAGTTTACAATACACTGACCATTTTCTCCACGTGCTTCCTTACGTTTACGTGAAGCTGGTCTTTAGTTGCAGCAAATGTCTCCACAGCAAAGTCTTTCATTCTCTTGGATCCTTTCGTCAATGCAGCATAAATGGGAAGAGTGTATTTTTGCTTGCCTGTTTTTGAGGAAGAATGGTAAGGTTCAGTTTAGCAGAGTGCAACATATGAAATACACTCAAGCTCGTATTTTCAATTTTTGACATTCATCAACATAAATAGAAGCATACCTGCCAATTTCAAGTTTGGAAACATTTCAGTTTTGTATCTGAAATATTCATAATGAAAAGGGTGTACCATGATATATGAAATTTATCAGTGATGAATAAACGACATAAATAAAAGCTGAACATGTAACTTATAGAAAATGTAATACTCCAGAGTAAGGTTACTTAAACGGAGATATTTTCTACCCTATAGGTGTATCCGAAAACAAAAACAAAAATGTACATAAAGGAACTTTAACTGACACTGTGCCACCCCAAAAAACTCTAGGTTCCACATTCTGTTCACTTACTATAAGTATAATCTATTTGTATCTACATGTATATGTTTATGTATCACTTATCTATTACTTAGGTTAGGATGCTATGAATCATTTTCTGGAAGTACTTGATGCTTAGCAACATTTCACCAGCCAATGTGAACTGGGGGAACAGATCGAAGCAGTTGTATGTACTTCCAGTAAATTGATTTACAGCAAGGTATAGCTACATATTGATTGCTAATAACTTCAAAGTTACTGGTTGAATCATAATTTTCATGGAACAATGCACATCACTCTTTTAGAAATATTCAAATTGCATAGGCAATACAGAAATGTTCATTCCTTCCTTCCTTTAATCCTTATTTGGGAAAATAAAATAAAATTTGTACCTTGGGCAATGAGGAAAGCCTTGACATTTGACAAGTCATCTGCATAGTCGCTACCAATCGTGAGTTGTGACCATCTTAATCGAATCTGAGTAAAACAAAACAAAACAAAATATTAAAACAGAAGAAATGAATCAAATAGCTATAGAAATTCCAGGGATCATGAACGTTAAACTTACTCCGTCACTATCCAAATCATTAATGTTCATTGATGAGAACATTAATCTACATTTGCCACACTCCACCCTGGTGAGGTGAATGGGTACCCCGGTAAGAAAAAATTAATTGAATGCTTGAGCGCCTTTTCATGGTAGCCCGGCTAAAGCCGGGGTAATAATATGATTGCTGGGCCCTCAGGGAGAACAGTATTAATACTGATGAGGTTACCCCGGGTAAACAAGACATATTATTATTATTATTATTATAACCCCAAGTTTACAAGCACTGTTATATACAGTACATATCGAGGGGTCATTGACACAAAGAGGTAACTCCATTTTGGCCATTTTTAGCAAAAGTGGTTTAAAGATAGAGGTTTACTTGGGCCTTAAGGAGTTAAGTCTATGTTTCACTAGCCACTGACTTTAATGGGGTGTTGGGTGGACTAAAGTCTTTTTGTTTCCTGGAAGGCCCACATTTTTCTGGACATTTTGATATCAAATACTCATTATGGCAATATATGGATTATGGAGTTACGTCTTTGTGTCACTGAACGCTCGATATATTATGTGAATATACTAATACTTCACAAGTAACGACTACCTACCTCAGCATTGTGTGTATCCCTTATTTGGGAGTAGGTGGTGGCAAAGTGTTTGAGTGTTTCGTGAGGTAGGCTGTCTTCTGATTCCACAAGCTGATCTATGAAATGAAGAACTTGATAGGTCTTCCACTCAGAGATATCCAACGACAGATCCTTGTTATCTTTCTGCAGGACAAGACAGAACAAAAATTACAAAAGAAAATGATACAGCCAAACCTGACTCAGTAACCACCACCTGTCTATAAAGACCACATTTGTGTTTTAACATCAGACATCAAATCTCCATGAAAATCTTCATTCACCCATGGCATTACAGTATCTCCCTTTAGTGATGTTTCTGCATTATATTTTGATCCAGAATTAAAGGAAACATATTTCACAATTTTAGAAACTACTTCTAAATGAATTAATTTAGATTAATTTACATAGCACAGCTTCTACATAAATAAACTCTACTGTTCTGTGATGGAAACAGAACATGTATGGTGGTGTGACCAAAGTTCGCGCGTGACCAAAGTTCGCGTACTAACACTAAAAGCGCTTTATAAGAGGAGAACGATACGCGATGCCTGTGTGGGACTGAGACAACGAAATCTTTGAGCACCGTCGACAACTCCAAAGGTCAAAATGCGGCATAAAAATGTGAATAAGCTAGCTTTTTCATGCTTTTTATCATAACAAATTGTGTTTTTTTTACATGAAAATCAGTTTATTAGAGGGATCGACTCCGAAAAATAATGATAAAATTCCAATTTCTTACGCAAAAAACGGAACCTGCGCGCCTGCTTCCACCGTATCTGTGCTTGTGAATTTCAATGAATCTATGGGTTTCGTAAGAATACAAATTTAAAAGGGGAAAGTGGAGAGACAAAAAGAGAAAAGAGCGAGAACTCGTGTATGGCTGACATATAAAAAGGAGACACATGATAATTTTTTCAAACAAACAAATGACATGCAGATAGGGACTACATTGTCATTAACACATAAACATTGACAAATATTGTCTTTTATTTGCAAAAATTAACAAGCGTATTTTTATCGGGCACTATTTCAATGATAGAGAGAAATTATTATCTTTTTCAAAGTTTCAATATAAAGTTCGGCTTCTGATTGAAACTACGTCCCTTTTTGGAATGTTTACATATATAAAGCCCATCACAAGAGGGCAGTAAATATCATGCGTGAACTTAGGTCACACTTTTTGACGGACGTCGGTAGTGGTAAGGCTTCCGATATTCTCGTCTTATCATTGATTTGAAGTAAATAAAGCCTTGGAATGTTATATAATCTGATTATATGATAAATTACGAATCTTATGACGTATGAAACATGATATATGTTGATCTGGATTTTTTGTAATGTGCAAGAAAAGAAAAATATCCGCGAACTTTGGTCACCCCTTCATAAGTGTTACTTTAAGGGCACACAACCATTAACTATTCAAAAGCTTCTGAAAACAAATGCATCTTTCAACGAAACTTTGAAGACAGTAATAGATGGAGCTTTCGTTAAATCTAGTGGTAGGTTATTCCTAAGCTTTGTAGCAGCGCAACTGAAAGTGCCATCTCCTAGAGTTACTTTTATTTTGTGTAGGTGCCTTTAGAAGCAGCTTGTTCTGTGTACTTTGTAAGTTATGTAAATACGAATGTGATTTAATTTAGACAAATAATTTGGGGCTTCACCATTCAATGCTTTGCAAACAACAATAGTATCTTACAGCCTGTCTGCACTAGTTTAGCCAGGAGGGCTTAGACCTCCTGTGTGGTCACTGACAGGTGGTTACCTCATCAAATCAACTCTCAAATAACATAAGAAAAAGTGAATCATGGGGGACCTACTGGTACCGCTTAGGCATTGTCTGCTATATAGAGGGCGCAAGTAGCTACAAGTAGTACAGTCCCGCTTAAAAAACAATTCTATGCCTCTTTGGTAACCACTGTAACCACTGCATCAAATATATATTAAATATGGAACAATTTTGGGGACTTGGATGCAAGTCTAGCAGTGGCATTCTAAACAAGCTGCAACTCATATTGCCTTTAGTCATACCTCTTTATGGTATGTGAGCCAATAGCTAGCAAGCTTCTCTGCAGGATCCATCAGCGTCCTGCCGGCTGACAGGTCAGGGACGAAGGGAGGCCACGACGTGCCGTTGAGCCAGTGGTCAAACTCAAAGCCCTTCCTGTAGAAATGAGAATAGGAAAGAGAGTAATTTAGGTTTTTGAAGAATGAGTCTAAAAGTTTATGGTTGGCAAGATCAGTAGCATTTCTAAAAGGTTTTTTTTTCAAGCCCTACCCCCACCCCCCCCCCCCTCCCATTTTTTGTGAGACACATGTAGAACATGAATGCGAGAGCGTGCAAGTTTAAATTAATTAGTAGTGGTATAATGTCCACAGAAAAAAGAGATTTAAACTAGATGAACCTTCGACCGCACGCAGTCGAAAATGATGCCTCCGTCATTGAGCAATTTTACAAACAAAACATTTTTGCATACATAATGAGCCCTGTGACCTTTGACATTTGACCTCGTTACCCCCAAATTTAATCAGTTTATTGGCTCTGCAAGGTACATACATGACCCAAGTTTTGCGGGGAATCCATCAATGGATTCTTGAGATAACGCGATCACGAGCTATTTTTGCATACATAATGAGTCCTGTGACCTTTGACTTTGGATCTTGCGACCCCAAAATCTATTCATTTCATTGGCTCCGCAAGATACATACATGACCCGAGTTTGGCTGGAATCCATCAATTGGTTTTTGAGAGAACGCGATCACGAGAACGCGGCGGACGGACGGACAACCCGAAAACATAATGCCTCCGGCTACTTTGTAGCAGAGGCATAACAGTTATCTCTCTCTCCCCAGGAATATTAAATGAGCAGCATGTACAGGATTTTGTAATGGTCTGTGGACCAAAGTGTCAGCCTGGGTGAAGGTGAGGTCCTCTGGGAGCAGCACAGCACAAGCCCATACAGCAAAGAGTCAAAATGACAATCTTACTAGGACCAGGAAAATTACCTCGTTGTAATGTAACCTATAAGTACTCAAAAACTATTTCTTACAAACAGATGGGACCTGTCCTTTTGAGTTTGCCATAGCAGTGTTCGATAGAAGAAGGTAGAACTGTGCTGTCACCATTATAACAGTCAAACCTGCTCTAGTGACCATCTGTATAGAAAGACAACCTGTCTACAAAGACCAATTTATTTGTTTCCTTTGAAAATGGTTTCTCATTGAAACATATACTAAAGGAGCCTGTATATAAGAACAACCGGCCTATAAAGACCACTTTTCTTGTCTCCCTTGGGTGGTCTTTATAGACAGGTTTCACTGTACTTACTTTTGTGTGATCTTCTGTTCCTGAAGCTCTGGATAGAAGTCAAGGAAAGCATCAAACAGGTCCTCTGCAACTACGCTCTTTATGCAATTCAAAAGAACAAAGAAATACAGATTAATTTGGGAAAGAAGCAATGTGATGAAACAAACAGACATAAGACAGCAAAAGTATGTAGCAAGAGAAAGGGTCATCTAAGGTCAAGAGGTCAGATCCTCCATTAGGGTTCCTTCTGCAAATTTCGATTTTATTTTTCTTTTTCTTTTTTTTCCTAATGCTGCAGTTACACCTTTAAATAATAACAAAATTCTATAGCCCTTTCTATCATGGAAAGAAAAAGGAGGCATTTATTTAAGAAATGTCAAAATCAGAATGTTACAAATATTGTGCATTTGTCTATATACCTCAGTTTTAATTGGTGAATGGGAGTTCAATAAAAGCCATGCAACAATGATAAAGTTCCTGTGATTTCGTTTAAACTCTGTAGATATCCTGCACCATGTATTTGATATCATACAGTGCTATATACAATTGTAAATGGTAAACCTCTGAATATCTAAAACATCAAACAGATCAAAAATTGAACGTTTATTCAACACTACCTTGAACTTGAACTGTTGGCAATACGATTTCAGGAATTTGGTGAACTCTGATTTCCCCCCGACCAGGCTAGCCAGGTAGCTGACAAAAGCGAAACCCTTCTCGTAGGGGACCTCATTATAGGTGTCTTCAGGGTCGATGCCCTTGTCGATCACCACACGTAGTCTGTTCAGAGGATGATCCTAGAGATGAAAAGATGGAGAGTTCTAATGATTTGTATCACCAGTAAGTTGGACTATTGTAATGGTCTACTGTATGGGATCCCTGACTGTCAAATAGTGAGATTGCAACGGGTTCAAAACACCTGTGCAAGGCTGATCTGTGGTTGTTCTAAATTCACACAGATCACCCCAATTTTAAGAAATCTACATTGGTTACCAGTACGCCAGAGAATAACATTCAAAATCTTGTTGATTGTATATAAAGCACTTCTTGGTCAAGCTCCCACTTATATCAAAGAACTGTTGAATTTCAAACCTAATCAACACAATCGCAACTTGCGCAGTTCCCGAGATACTTTGTTGCTACAGATTCCATCTATCAAAACAAAAATAACGCTAGGTGATCGAGCATTTGCTTGTGCAGCCCCAAAACTCTGGAATAACTTGCCATTTGAAGTCAGGAAATCACCATCTGTAAACGTCTTTAAGTCAACACTGAAAACACTTCTTTTTAATTAACTGTACCGTAAATCTAAGCATATCAGGAGCTCTTGTAGCGCAGTAGAATATATACCTAATGTTGGATAGTTTCTGCGCTTTATAAATGTACTATTATGTATTATGTTATGTTATGTTATGTTAAGCTTTAGCACCACCTTGTGGCGGCTGCTTGAAGATTTTTGTTTGTAATATTGTGCAGCTATGTTCAGCTTGGTATTCGGCAGCTCTCTACCACCCAGGTTCTTCGATTAGGCTTCAATAAAGAGCTTTCAAGTTTACTTAGGCTGATGTCACGGTTCAAGTCCTGCTGCAGGACCAATTTCCTTGAGCAAGGCATTAATCTTCATTTGCCACACTCGACCCAGGTGAGGTAAATGGGCACCTAGCAGGAATCAATTCCTTGAAATGCTAGAATGCCATATTGGCAGCAATGCTAAAGGGGAGGTAATAATTGTGGAGCGCCAGAGGTATCAAGTCTGAGAAATATGAGCACTACTAGTACTACCTACTATTATTATTTATTTACTATTATTATTACTACAGTCAAACCTGCTTTAGTGACCACCTCTATAGAAAGGCCACCTGTCGTTAAAGACCACCTGTCTTTAAAGACCACACTTTTTGTTTCCTTTGAAAATGGTTTCTCATTGAAACATGTACAAAGGAACCTGTATATAAGGACCACCTGCCTATAAAGACCACTTTTCTTGTCTCCCTTGGGTGGTCTTTATAGACAGGTTTCACTGTATTATAATCATCATTGTTATATCCTTCCTTTTCCAATTATAGATGGGTAGTGAATGATGCCCTAGCAGGGTACAAATTCAAAGGCTTATACCGGTGTGTTGGCTCAGTCAGTAGAGCGTCCGCCTCACAACCGGGAGGTTGTGGGTTCGAACCCCGGCCGCGTCATACCAAAGGATGTTAAAAGACGGGAGTTGCTGCTACATGTACCTTGTTTGGCGTTCAACAATAAGAGATAGAGCAACGTCAATCTGGCGCTGCTCAGTGGCTGCCGGGCTCACGATCAATTGGGCAAAAAGAATTTCCATTTTCGGTTTAACTTAATAAAATTTGGAGTGGACTTTAAAAGATTATTATTATTATTATTATTATTATTATTATTTAAAAATTATCAAAAAGGCTTCCCTGAAAATTACTGCTGGGGTGGAAGCAGATATCTTACTATGATTGGTCCAAAGCAATATCACTGTATTCAATAAAGAAACAAATCAATGAATACTCTGTGATACTGCAAAGAAAATTAATGTATATACATGTATATCTGATGACTACTGAAATCTCTGATTCGTTAATGCAGGGACTACATGGTTCCTGATGGCACAGGGTTGAATGAAAGACCATATCATTTATTAAAAATCAAAATCTAAAGCCTCATTCAGATACGAGGTGGAAAATCTGCTGCTTTCTTAAAAAATGAGAACGCAAAGCGTAATATGCTTTACATTTCTGTATCTTATAACAAATAGCTCGCTGGACCTTCGTTGGGCAGTTGCCATTCATTCACATGTTTTAAAAGGAAATGGTGGTCTTTGGGGGCAGTCTACTGGATCCTATCTGAACAAGCCTTACAGGGACTGGATCGGCAGGTTCCATGTGCAGCAGGCCATAATTCGCTGACATCAGACTTGGTGGAAATACCATTAATGGGAGTACAAATCTGCACACAGCAAACCCGTTGGCCAGTCAAGAATTACCCCCTTATCGCTCGAAGAGCTTCGGGTGAGGGAAAAGCGAAGCATTACATAAGGTCTTATGGTCATAAAACTGAAGGCTAACCCTGGCGATTGACAACACCTGTTATTGGGTAAACACCCGAACGGTGTCGAATTCCCCATGAGAGCTGACTTCCCCCCTGTCCACACACAACATTTTCCGTGATTAGGCGTGATTAGTTAAACCGTTTCGTGATAGTGATACCGTTTCGCCATAGTTTTACAATGAAATTGTGTGTGTGGACGCTCACTAACAATACGTCGTATAACGAAACTAGTCTAACGAAACGCAGGTTTGGGCATCGTTTCAAACTGAAACTCAATAAAGAATCACGCCTAATCACGCCTAATCACGGAAGGTGTTGTGTGTGGAGGGAACTAGTGTAACTAGTGTAACTAACTGGGCAGGGCTTAACGTGACCTCGAGCGAAAGGAGACCTGACCTTTCATTTCCGCTTCCATTTCATGACCGCAGTAGCAAACTGCGCACCTATACGACATTTCGCTGTAGAGTTTCAGGATTACTTTTTTCTGTGTGTGGACATCCTGGAATTTATACAATGATTATTTATACCACGTTTCTTGTGTGTGGACACACTGAAATTTATACGATGATTCTTTATACGACGTTTCGTTATAGAGTTTCGAGATAAATTGTTTTGTGTGTGGACACGCTCAAAGACTCACCTCTCCTGCAAATGTCATCCGTTGCTTAAGTAGTGCCCTCCCTGTAGCAGCTTCGAGGCACGTGTAGGCTTCACCTAGTAATTCTTGACTGATGCAACGCTGGGCAAACATGGTGAAACCCTCATTCAGCCAGAAATCACCCCATGTTGCGTTGGTTACCAGGTTACCAAACCAGCTGTGGGCCTGTCAAAGAGAAATGAGAACAAAATGTCTTAACAAAGTTTGTAATTTTACTCCCTACTTCTTGGGAAACATGATAAAATAATAAGCATTTAGCCGATTGGTGAATGTGAGCTTACTTCATTGGGGTGCTGGGAAAACAAAAATCATAATAATAATGTTTACTATAATTCCGTACTTAATGGCGCACAAATCTGCCTGAAATAGGCACTCTTGGCGCACAATTAATGAATTACATATCAATCAAGCCTATTTACAAACTATAGCAGCTAAACCGCCCGAAATCGGCCCTCCTTTTAATCACTGAACCGCCCAAAACCGCCTGTGCGTTTTCAACGCACTGTAGTATCCTTCTATGGGGGTCTACTGCGGTAATGTTATATGTGCGTAATCCTTACGATAATAATAAATAATAATAATAATAGCTCGTTCTTATATAGCGCTTTTCAGGACCGGAGGCCCTCACAAAGCGCTTTACAGATAAGTATATTATTACCCCGGTCATTGGATTCAGGCTTACCCGCACACAATGTATGCACATTCTCCACTCCCTGGGGAGCATTCCAGCCAGGCGTCATTTTTACATGCGCACACTTGCTAATCTAACCACATTAGCTTTCGCATCCTACCGGGTACCCATTTAACACCTGGGTGGAGAGTGGCAAATGTAGATCAATGTCTTGCCAAAGGACATTAGTGCTGCGGCGGGACTTGAACCACGGACCTTGTGATCCACAGTCCGGCGACTTATCCACTCGTCCACAACACCTCTTCAAATGAAGCTGAAACAATCACAAGGAGCAATCAGCTGACAAACACAAACTCATGATGTCCTAAATAAAAATGGTATTTGCTTTAATCATAGCAACTCCATGAATGGAGTCACTACAATATACACATGATTCCTTGAGCCCTTTCCTTAATACTTTTTGGAGGGAGCCTTATGAAAATCTTTATTAACCCTATTTAGCCCGGGCTATTTTGAAACTGCATAGCCCTTCTAAGGCCCCCCCCCCCCCCATGATCTCGGCCGTGAAACGCCCGATCGCCGCAAAAATTTGCATACATGTCAAGCGAAGTGTATAGAATACTATGGTAATTTCAATTTTTTTGAAAAATTCACTCATTTGCATATTTATGGTAATTTATGCAAATAAGGTCATTAAATTCACATTTTTGCCCATAAATCAGACATTATTCATATTTAAGCATTCTTTCTCACTACATATATTTGTTAGACCATTTGGAATAATAATACAACACAAAAATTTGAAAAACCAGGGTTATTCCTTATGTTATCTATTGTTTTGATAATTTCTTATGTATTTCTTTGTTTTTTTAACTTATGTATTTTATTGTTCTTGTTGTTTTATTTCATTTCCAACTATAATTCAACTATTTTGACCCCAAAATAAACACCTAAAATCTAAACAAGACCAAATAACCAATGTTTTACCTCTTTATTTGAAAAATGAGATTTCCTTATGTTTTGTACACAAATCACAAAAATGAGCGATTTTCGGGCTGACATGCGAAGTCAAAAGGACACGTGCCTTTGTAATGGTAGGTCCGATTTTCGAAAAATTTCTTTCAAAAGTTGCGCAAGACTCGAAAGAAAAAAGTCACAAAATTTCAGTGCAAGATTTTCTTGCATTAAAAAATTATCGCGAAAAATGTCGAGGGGGGGCTTCTCAAGCCCCCCCCCCCCCCCCCCGGGCTAAATAGCGTTAAGAGGGTAAATCAGGAGCCTATCATTTTAAGTCTTATTTTTAATCTCTCACAAAGACTCTTATCACAAGACCTCTATATTTACCCTTTCCTGTCCTGTACACTTCTTAGTTAATTGACTTCTTTTCATGAATGAGTTAAAAATAACTTCTAGCTATTTACAGGGGTTTTACTTAACACAAAACACTGGTGTTTCAAACCGTGATATACACTGTCTATAAGTAGTTATTTTCACAGGGGTTTTATTTTTGCGAATTTTTCGAATCACTTATTGATTGCAAATTTAACATGCTAGGATTCTGCATGGTAAAATAGCACATGTTTCATATTGTTCAGAACAATGTAAAGATGAGAGCAATATTGCAACCTCTTCCAGTGAGTAATAGGCCATTTTTACAAAATCTCTAGTTGCTAATGGGTTAAAAGACTTACGATTTCATGCATGACCACATCTGTGAGTGATTTATCGCCCACCAGGAGGCAAGGGGTCACAAAGGTCAGACACGGATTCTCCATCCCACCAAAGGGAAACGATGGAGGCATGACCAGAATGTCATAGCGCCCCCACACGTAGGGTCCAAAGAGTCGCTCTGCGGTTGAGATGTAGTCCTCCACAACCACGCTGAACTCTGCTTGTGCCTTGTCCTGTAATGTTAAATGCATCATTTAACAATGTTAAATCTGAGATGCATGGTCCTACGTGTTATCAGAGTCTGTGATATGGTGTAATATTGAAGCCCTAAAAAAATTGTGCTTCAAAATGATCAAAAAGTGCCTCAAAAAAGTAAAAATCTTTGAGTGACTGGTTCTACCATACTCGTTTTCCCCAATAGACTGTAGTGTTATGAAAACCGTTAGGAAAACGCAAAATTTGGTTTCGATTTCCAATCATAAATATCTTGATAATCAGACAGGCAATCAGCTTGGGGTTCCTGACTGACCCAAAGGCTTATAATTATGATTGCAGCATGAGCTAAATCCGGGATTTTTCAGAATCTGAGACAAAGTTACCGGATCCCTTTAAACAGAGTCGATGTACAAGGAAGTATAACTAGTGGATTCATTCAATAGTACTCATTTCTAACTAATCTCAATAAAGTACACTGACACACTTTTGGTTGGATGAGCAGTAAATATTTCCTTTCACACGTAGTAAAGAATGTAAGAGAAGATAAAACTGAGTTTACCTTGGTGCCTCTATAGCTCTACAAGCATGCCCAAAACACTGTACATGTAATCTACCAATTCCCCAAATTCCCAAAAGTTGATGGCATGCATTAAGAAGTGATTTTTCAGTAATTTAGTATTACAATACACCAGCAATAATCAAAAGTTTCTGGTCAGCTTGTCTGATAAAAAAAAAAAAATTGCACTTCATTATTACTCTAAGATCTTCATAATTTTTACCTTGTACATCACAATGAAACTTTTCTGAATGAATATTCATAAATATATTTGATCACAATACATTATACCTATTTACTAACATTTTTAAAATTGTATGCATACTTTTTAAACAAAGGTTGTTCTTGACTACCTCAAGCTTGAAAGAGGCTTGCCCAACATAGCAATGAATAATATATGCAGACTGGTTTCCAAGTATTGCAGTTCATTCATTAATTACAGGTTAATAAAATACCTCATCACTAGGTCCCCAGAGAGAAACATTCTTAATTTGAATGTATAGTAAACCAATCTATTGCATGACCATTGTCCAGTAATCACCTTCACCTTTACAAGTAAAATATTATCCTACCCTCCAACCCCCCCCCCCCCTCCCCGAAAGAAATCGTCTTTAAAATCTTACCAGAAGACATGGCTCTGTCCACACGTTGCTCCTGGGGCCGATCTGGGCCGAGGCGATATCACCGACTGCTAAGGCCACCAGGTAGCTAGGGATTCGTTGGTTCATACGGAAGGTGAAGATATCCGGACTGACATCCTTCCCCCATTGGTCTGCACTCATCACAGCGGCAAATCCAGATGGAACCTGAGGTTAAAGGTCAAATAGAGTTTAGGTCAAGGGTCAAAGAGAAAAATAATTGTCACTAAAGGTTCGTTCAGATATGACGTGGTATACCGCTGCCCAAAAAACTCCCAATGCAGCTCATTATTTGTAAATTAATGGCATCTATACGCGCAACAAGGGTTCCCGAGCGTATTCTCTGAGCTGTGTGTTATATGATAAAGAAATGCAAGGCGTATTACACTTTATGTCATGATAAACCACCATGGTTTTTCATTTTATCTGAACGAAGCCTTAGAGTTGTAATGGTATTGTGATTTATTCACTTGCCTTTCAATTGCAAGGCCTAGGGTTCAAATCTCATCCTAGCACTAAAATCCTGAAGCAAGACATTAATCTACTTTGCCACTCTTGACCTTAATGTAAATGGGTATGATACATGAAAAATGCCCACTTAATTAATACAAGTCTTGTAAGTTGAAATGTATCCCCCCCCCCTTTACCTCAAGAAAAAAATATTTGCTTACATTGGATTTTTTTATGTTATCGCTTTCATTGTATTGTAATATAATTTATTGTATTGAAATGTAATTTATTGTATTGAAGTATTTCAATTCTTACATGAACAGTAGCGGAGTATGTCGACTTGACAGCTGGGGTGTCAAGACAGGGGAAGAAAGATCTGTTCAAAACGGCCTGTCCTTGTGTGTACAGATATGGCTTGGACTTCCCTGCAGACAAGATAAAAATGCATATGATTTATATATTTATATATTCAGTTAGTCTTATTTTACCAGGGTGGCTACACTGTTTTACAAAAAGGCTCTGTAATTTAATATGAACAGGATATATAACAAGATACAACCAAAACATGATCAAACAATAAGCCCCAAATAAAACTCATGAAAGACAAAAAACTGCCTAAAGATGGAAGAAAATCATCAGAATTTTTTTTTTTTAAACTGAAGCTTAGAACCAGGAATTTAACTCTATCCTGGAGATGTTCCAATATTTAAAATTTGTACAGTTTTGCAATTTGGTAGGTAACAATACTATTTTATATGTACATGTACATCTACATGCATTGCAAAAGTAATATATGGAGAGAGACTAGTCATGGAGTCAGCCCATATTTTGAGTAGCGTGTTTGAGAATTTCTTTTAAAGAAATAAACCTGAGGACTTATAGTACATCTACCGGTAAATAAATTGTTGAAAATTTAGTCTAGTTACTCGCTACAGATTTGATGCGGCAGGTAACATATTTTGACACATGCTCTGAGAAAAATTGCTCCATGATGTATTTATTACACTTGTCAAAATCTTACTATATCCTAAATACTGTATGTGTAACTGCAACCCTGGACCCAACGCTGTACCTAACCCTAATCCTAAACTTAAGCATGATCCAAAAACTAACCCTATAGTCCTACATCTGTTAATTGAATTGAATTGATTTACTTAAATCAACAAAACATGTAGCCTAGAGGCTGAAAGTATTTTTTGATAAATAATATGAACAAATACAGAATTTGGGAAAATTCAAAATTTCATACAAAAATTTGACAAATTTTAAAGCCAGTAGCAAATATCTGATCATCATCAAATTAAGAGTACTAGATTGTACCTGCAGTCTGACTAGGGTCCAGCCAACATAGTCCAGGGGCTTTCCCCACCGTGTACGTGATCTCGATCTTAAACTCCTCCCCGACCTCGCTGCAAGGTCGGCTGATGTGCAGTGCAGATCCATAGCCAGTGAAAGGCTTCACCTCGTACTGAAGATCAGCTTCGGGCGGGGACTTGTCGACGATGCTCGAGATCTGGATACTCTCATGGCTGTCCAGAATGACTGGAAGATACAGAAAGAGAGGAAAGTATTTAAATGATAGAGAAAACTATCCATTCGGGTGAAAATATCTCAATTCCATCAAATACTAGTATTATGAAATTATATTCATCTCAGCACCGCTTTCTCCCTCTTTATCTTTATCTCTCTCTCCCTCTCTCAACCTATCTCTCTCTATCTCTTCCTTCTCTCTCCCTATCTGCCTATCTCTACGTGTATGCCAACTCCCCCTCTCTGTCTCTCTACCTCCTACTTACCCCATATTAAATCCCAACCCTCAATTATAATTTTCCTGAAAATACTAGCAACGTGTTTCGTAAACAAAGGTTAACAACCTTTAGTCATTAGGGAATCAATCCTGAAAAACCAGTCTACATGAGAAACACCATTATCACCATCACCGTCTTCATTATCATCACCATCATCATCATAATCATCATATCATCATTACCACCACCACCACCATCATCATCATCCTCGCCATCACCACCATCATCTTCAACATTATAACTCTCATCATCATTCCTCTCGTCATCCATTCCTCATCATAATCATCACCATCATCACAACCACTATCACTCTCATAATCCATATACCATACATAATGCATGCCATGTACCGTATGCACTGATTCAATGAATTATCATCATCATCATATTCATCATCAACACCATCTCATCATAGTCATCAGAACATAAACCTCAAAAAAAGACCTGATTTAAAAAATTTATAACAGCACTGCTGTATATGTAAGTATATCTGGGAACTGAAAGTTCTCCTTTTTTTAGACTCATACAATGTACATGTGGATATTAGAAATACAACAGATACACATGAATCTCTCATACACTTCTTTTATAACTGTTGAATAAATGCAATCTTGGCACAATCAAAATGGTTTCAATTCAACTTAGGGTGCATTTATTACATGTCTACGATAAAGTTAACTCGGTGTTGGTCTTTTTATGTGATTGCAATCAAAATGAAAACTGAGAAGCTCATTCATGTACGTGTTCAGTAGGGTTCTGAATCATTATCCTGGATTTTTTTCTGAATTCGATCATTTAATACACTGTGTAGGGTTACATGTATGACCATTTTCATTAACAGATTTTTTTCTTCTCCAAATTACTGCGTATGTTTGAAAGATGAAACCATGCTCAAGATTTGCCAGAACGCATTTATATTCTGCCTCTACATCCATGTACAATTTGTATGTTAGGTTGTTGATATGATCATACATTGGGGTGTTCCGTAACGACCAACAGATTATTCTTAGCAGGCAGAATACATACATAAACCAGTACTTGCCAAATGGTCACAATCCAATTAAATTCATATTCTGTAATGTCATTGTCAAATAGTGTACATACACTTCTATCTTTTTGTTAAAACAGATATCATAATAAATGTCATCACTGACTAAATTTGAATCAAAATAAATATTCCTAGCTCTAAACTAGAGTTTACATCAGATTACGGTATATCTTTTTGGAAATACGAGGGCTAATAATAATTAATAATATGAATAACTAATTCGGGTCAAGTTATATTTTTGTATTATTTGGGCTGCCACCCTCCTTTAGGTGGGTGCACTACGACGGGCTAACATGGTTGAATAGTCTAAGGTATGAACTCGCAGACGTATGGACGGCCTTCATCGCAATCCTGGTCATTAAGCTGTCTTCCGTTGAACTCCACGCAGTCTTCGTCATCCCAAAATGACCACCATGGCGAGTGGTTATCTGGCTGCCCACCACTCCACATGGAGCTCCCTTTGCTCAACTCTCCCCCGAAGCCAGTCCATCGGTAGCGCCCCTCACTGCTGCGGTCGTTAAGGCCAGTCCACATCCAAGGCATGGAACTGATGCCGTAGTAGGACTGGAGGAAGTTCTTAACGGTGGTAATCTCACCCAGGGTGTCGAACTTGACAAGTTGCCCGCCATTGTCGCGGCAGCTCTTTTCAGCGTCGCTCCATTCTTTCGACTGGTGAAAGTATATGTAGCATGATGTAACCCCGGCAGATCGGGGTGGCCAGTTATTCGGGCAGTTATCTGCAACAAGATTATTCAACAAAAACAAATATTAAACTATTTGAGCACAAGTACTTTAAAACCAGACCCTTTCAGTAAAATCCCTGAAAGGGTCAGATTCGTAAAAGTTTCATGCTGCAAAATAATTATCATAATTGATGCAACACTCAAGTTTTGTAATTGGCAAAAGTTTCTTGCCACGAGATAAAACCCTCCTTTAGAACCAGCGAAGATATCATGTCACAAAACTTTTTTGTTTTTCAGTCAATATTCAAAACAATGGTACAATTTCTATGTTTTCAAATTACTACACATACTTGCTTCTACTCTTAATTACACTACATAAACATTAATGATATGTAATTTCAGTCAGCTCTTCCTAACAATTAAATCTATCCATTAAACAACATCTTTTACCCATAAGATAAGACAATTTGGGACACCTCTGAATCATATCATAGAAGGCGGTCTAAAGCCCTTTGTCCAAAATGACAAAATCTTGAGCGCTGCTGAGAAAACCTGACTTTTAATACTACAGTAATTCCTTCAAGTTCTGTTTCCAAAATTAAAGCATTATTGAAAAGTTCATGTATTAATTAGGTACATCCGTGTACGTGTGCAACAGGAGTTTATCAAGTGTACATCAATAGCCATGCTGCAATCTCTCCTTAAATGTACGATTTAACAAATCATAAAAACTCTGCCTAATATGTGCCCCTCTCATACAAGTCTTATACATTCGAATTCCTATCAAATTACAACTAAAATCAAGAGGTACAACTGTAAATGTTTAACTTACAGAGGGTGCAACGCTCGGTTAAAGTGTAGAGTGCATTGGCCGCATCCTTGTTGACCTGTTCCGTCTTGGAGAGGGCAGTGTCACAGCTGAACAACAGAACAGTTGCTATGGTGATGACTCCAATGAGCAGCATATTGGTTTTCTACATTAGAAAAAAAAATGTTAAAAATTAAGAAGAATAGAAACATGGGTGCAGATACAGGATTTTGTAAAAAGAGAGGGCACAATATTCCTGAAATTCAATTAATAAATTCCAAGCAAGCAACAATAAATAATGGTCATCACCATAATACAGGGGGTGGGGCATACTGCTTGTTTTTCTTGTTCTGCAGCCCCCCCCCCCCCACCCCCTCCTCAAACAAAATTTCCGACAGTGGAGAAAATCACTGGATGATGATTTATATTGACCAAAGGGGCAGGCACATCAGGTCAGACATAGCAATGTAAAACTGTGCTCAAAGACACCCGATATAAAGCTGCTTATGGCAAAAGTTAATAACAACAGACGTTAAATCACAACTTGGAATAATAGTGGGTTTTTGTACAGTGTATAGCGTCATGTCTGTCACAGGTGACACTCCTGGTGATCCCGATTATTACCGGTACCCTGGCTTTAGCAAGGTTGCTATTACGGCACTCAAGCATTTCACGGAATTAACTCCTGCCATGTACCCATTTACATCACCTGGGTTGAGTGTGGCAAATGTAGATCAATGTCTTGCCAAAGGACATTAGTGCCGCAGCGGGACTCGACCACGACACCTAAAGTATGTTAAGATTTTTTTGTTTATTCTTACAATCCAACTGGTTCAAAACAAAAGCTGCACTACTAGTGAAATCTAACTATCGATGAACCATAAAATATACTAAAATGATGAAGATTATAAAGTACTTTCAGTGGTAACAATAATGGTATTGGTAGGTGTATGGTATCAAGTCGAAAAAAAGAAAAGGTATCAATCTAAATCACACTTACCAGTGCTAACGATACGATGAAGATTCAACGAGTGACTCTGCTTTCGGTGGAGTCTCAGGTTTTATAGCCGGTCGAGGTGAAGTCATGAGAAGACTGATCAATACCTGATATTAAACTCTTTAGCAAGTATTTTCAAGGAGCACTTGATTCATCAATATTTGCGTTTCGCAGCCACAAAAAGAGTTTTGAATGACAGCATCATCAATACATCTTAAATCTCTTTAACATTACAGCGAAAAGAGAAAGACAGAAAAGAAATTTAAAAGTATGGTTGAAGCAATTGAGTGACATTTGTCGAATAAAATGCATATGATATGGTAACAGCACAAAATTGATTCTCCAAACTCTAACCCTTCCCACTTAAAGAAACAAACAGAATGTTTGTTAGGACAAATTGACATAAATGGATAGAGGTTGAAAGAAAGGTAGATAAACATACAGTATGAATAAATGAGTACAGAAAGGTAAACACACACAAAGCTATTACATTTACATAAAAAGGTTGATAATTTTAGATTGAAAGTTTTTATTTTTTTAATGTAAGATACACTGTAACACTGAAAGAAAGACATTATAAGAGAAAGACAGAAAAAGAAAAAGAGAGATAGAAAGAAAGAAAGAAAGAAAGAAAGAAAGAAAGAGAGAAAGGGAAATAAGAAGGGCACTACCGGGTACAAACAAAACAAATCAAAGTCTGATGACGTAAAAAAAAATATATAAAAAAAGTAATTTATATTTTGTCAATACCTTTGATTAAAGATTGTTCTCTCATCAAAATCAAATGTCAGATCTACACACTTTGTTTCATATCACTAACAGATGTTAATGAAAGTGACATTTCAAGTGTTATCCTGTTTCAAGTTTCCTGTAAATTGTTTTGACCTTTTAATTAAAACCTTCAATCAAGTGAGACTATCATAAACACATGTCCCTTTTGTCTGTGACCCATCATCCTTTAAACAATAGCCTTGCCAATCAGCACGGTTGTAATTAATTTTTGAAACTCCTGCTGATTTCTTGTCTCTGACATTTCAAAATATATGATAATATGAGTTCACACACACATAATTTTCACTTGGTAAGCTTTTCATCTTTGCCTACACACTGACTTTCATGCCCGGCGCTAACAACTATATGATTCTCCTGAGATCAATTTTTGTTGTTGGAAGAAATGGTATTTATATTAGATAGATGGAAATTTTAACGTTCATCTCCTTCCTGATGTAGTTTCTGAATAATGATAAGAATATTAACAACTGGAACTTTAGTGCATGCTTTCTTGTCAGAATAAAGGTAAAATTGGCTTCAAATTGTAGACAATTGCACTACTGGTCTGAAATCACTTCAATTCTGAGCAGATTTAGCTTTTCTGTATCCAAGGAAGCTTGAAATCCCTTGAAATTTAGATTTAATTTATCTTGTGACTATTGAGATCCTAGATCATTAAGAATTTACAAGTTTTATTGTTCACATAAAATGCCATTGCAAATACTATTGAAATTGGATCCTAGTCAGACTGCTTACATGTAGTGTGCGCCTGAAACAGACTTCAATTTGATTAAATAATTACATCTGATTGATACAAATCTACAGAAAACGAATTACAACACACTCGAAACTAGACACCATTTTTTCAGGGGGGGGGGGGGTAGGAAGCAGACTGAAGCAGAGGAATGGGTTTGTTGTGAGAAGTAAGCGAGAGACTTGGAGTGTCTGATTGGCAAATTGATTAAGCTCATGGACAATAGAATTAACGTCAAACTTTAAAGATTAGCATTCACACACAGTCTATGCGCTCTGTATCTAATGAAGAGGCACTTTTTGTCTTTAATATTATTAATACAGTCAGGAAGCAGTTCTGCTCCTCATATGAGTAGAAGACCTAAACAGAACCCAACGACGGAGCTTGATAACTTGCCAAGACCCCGAACTGAGAGTAGGAGAAATAAAGAACTGGGTCTGGGAGCCCGACTGCACTGCTGAGAACACAGCATTCTTCCATAATCTTGGGTAAAGGGAGAGGTAAATAGATACCGGTAGCCTTAAAGGACAAGTCCAATCCAAACATAACTTTTAATAGAAGCAGAAAACTCAGACAAACCAATCAAAAAAAGTTTGAGCAAAATCGGATATCTAATAAGAAAGTTATGCATTTTTAATGACATGAAAAACTTTACAAATTACAAGACAAAGTGGCAACTCACTCATGAGTCTGTGACGTCATTTCCTCACTATCGAGTATCCACTAATTGTTTTCTTTAAATTGATAATATAAATTTCCAATTTCCCCCTATAAATCTTATTTCCTTATAACCAGCATCCAAGTTATATTGATAGTAATATGTTTTTGTGTTGAAGCACTAATATAGAGTAATTTTTTTCAATCAAATCATGAAAAAATTTAATTTTGATAAACTATTTATATAAAAATCAATAATTATGAAAAAAAATATTCAGAAAATAATATCAATTCTTCAAAGTTCATAAAAGAATTTGTGAATGTCATGCAAGCAATATGATACAAATCGTATGACCAGGGCAAAGGCATGGGGGAAATCAAGTTTTGGGGGATAAAAATGGAAATTAATGGGATAAAAATATACATTGAAAGCAATGATGTCACAAACTGATAACCAAATTGACAATCTGTGTACGGTAGTCATCTTCCAAATTCCATAGTATTTCATACTTTTTTTTTTATTACTTCTTAATTACATACATGTATAGTGGTATCCAATTTTGCTCTGTTTATCTTTTTTTTGCATCTATTAAAAGCAAATCATTTTTGGAGTGGACTTGCATCCTTTAAAGTTTAAGGGCTTGGTGATATAAAAAGAAAAATGAAAATCATGATAATGAAATTCATTAATTTTGAATAATCTGAACGCACTTACGGACTGAAACTCTTTACCACCATCTATAGCAGGCCTTCTCAACTAGTTTATTAGAAGTGCCAAAACAAAAAGAATTTGTAGTTGGAGTGCCACCATGTATGGTTGACTGTGCTGCGAGGGAGCGTAGCGACTGAGCCAAAAATGGGTGGGGTCCAGGGGCGAAGCCTTAACGGGGTAGTAGGGGGCAGAGCCCCCTGAAGCTGGTGAATTAAGGGCTTTCTAAAGGCTCAAATGGGGCATTTTTAGCACCATTTCATTCCGCAATATAACCAATCATAATTTCATATCCATGTGAAAAATTAGTACAATTCCTTGGTACATTGTACAATTACACTGGAGGTATATTTACATGTAGTTTTTTGTGTGCAATAAACACAGGAAATGTCAAAATAAAGTGAATATCAAGCAAACAAAAACAAGATGTTTCCAGAGATTGGCAATGTTAAAATTGGTACCCCATCGTAAGCTAATTGTTGTTCAGACCTTAGGCCTATAGGTTTAGATTCGTATAAAATGGTAAAAAACGATAAATTCCCCTTTCTTCCTGTTTGTTAAGCAGGCATTTTGGGCTCAAATTCGACTGCAACTTCTTGATTTAGCTGAGTATTTAATTCTAAAATATATTTTTTCTTTCTTTCTGCTTTTTGTTTTGTTGTTGCAACAGTCGCGCGCCACTCTGACTGACTGCAAGTGCCACAAGTGGCGCGCGCCGTCAGTTGAGAAGGCCTGATCTCTAGTATAGTTAACATTCAAAATCCTGACATATTCAAGGCTTATATGACTTATATGTGCAACAGCATTTTCAACAGTTATTATGTTATTATTTAATGCGCACATCAAGTCCCACTCGTTGTACTCCAAGAAGATGGTGTGGTGCAACAGGATCATCGTCTGGCTCTCAATCATGTACATACATGTATATGCGTGGGTAAGAGTGTCGCGCTGAACAGACAAAAATGCAAACATGGTTGTCGCCGCATCGTGGGTAAGTGCTGTGCGCCCTCCCCTCTATTCTAGATGCACTCTCGGGTTCAGGGGAAAACACTCTCTTCCTCGGCCTAGAACTTAGAACGTTAACTGGAGGCCCCCTGTAGTAACTCCAATTTTGACTTACTAGGTTGCTCGACCTAGTAATTGTAATTGTAATTGTAATTACTCCCTTTGCATATTTTGAGATAATGTCGCCCAACCCGCTGTTTGAATGTTTTTCGATGCACCAACTGAAGCTCCGACGCCTTCGGCATCGGCGTCGGAGCTTCCTGGAGTTACCCTGTAGGAGAGTCACACTTTATGGCTATAGATCTATGCATGTTAATATGGTACATCTCGCAATGAGTAGTAAACCCTGGTCTTAAGTGTGCATGCATACAGATTGGTAAAAAAAAAATGGGTCGACGAGTGGCAGATGAAATTTAATGCTAAGAAATGCTTCGTCATTAATATGACCAACAAGAGGAAGAAGTTGAGTTTCCAATATACTCTTCATGCCCAAATCCTGGATCCAGTTGTACATCACTAATACCTTGGAGTCTTCCTAACCCACAAATACAAGTGGGATTTCCAGTATGCTCACATTACCAAGAAGGCTAACAGGGTTCTCGGAATGTTAAGGCGTAATCTTAGAGGTTGTTCGAGAACCATCATGAGCACTGCTTATCTTGCGTTAGTAAGACCTCATTTAGAATATGCAGATAGTGTCTACGACCCCTATGAAGCCAAGTACATCAAGCAGCTGGAAATGGTACAACGTCGTGCTGCAGATTTTTCTGCAACAACTACAACCAACGTGCTAGTGTCACAGACATGTTAAGGGATCTGAATTGGGACTCACTGGAACATCGGCGAGAAGTTGCAAGACTTGCCCTCATGAAACAGATCCAGAGCGGACAATCTGCCATCCAGAAGACCCTAACACCTCTTGCTGTTACTAGATCCCGTCGTTCCTCAACCAGCAATAGCCAACATTTGAAACAGACGTACTGCAGGACAGACTTCTTCAAGTTCTCCTATTTCCCGTACGTGCAAGGACTGGAATAAGTTACCTGATAGCGTTATCAACACGGGATCAATTGATCCTTTTAGGTCCCATGCGCTACAATTCCTAAAAGATTGCTCTAGGGTAGCGCGCCCAGTATTCGGTCAATTCCCAGTATTCGGTCAGACAGCCGTTTCAACAGCTGTAACAATTTAAAAAATAATTTATGAGCCACGAAACTTGCACAAATCAGGCAGCTGAACAACTTTTCTTAACTCTCAAAATTAAATCAGATTTAGGGCCCCGGAAAGATCTCCAACTTAGCTCGAAATTGGTCAGTGTCGCACAACTTTCCGCACTTTCGCGTTCTCTTAGCACATGCGCTAACATGCATAGCCATATGTAGAAGTCTATTGCGAAACAACTACGTGTGCTGTCACAATGAATTTAGTATGTGTGTGAAGAGAATCACTTCCGTGTTCGCTCCATCGCAGCGAATTTGCAAATGACGCACTTGCCGATGTGCAAGAGGTATTTATACGATACCCTTGCCATGCGGTATCGCTCAGCCAGTATTCGGTCAACGCATTGACATTCAGTGCTTTATCGCGCAATTGTGTGAAAATAGTGCGCAAATACGCTACGCTCCTTTAATTAGCAACGGAGATATATACCACGCACAAATCGCGTGACCGAATTCTAGTCGGCGCGACCGAATTCTGGGCAGAAAAATGCTCCGTCTTCTTTCGGAAGTCTTTTGCTTATCGTTATTCTATATTTTCAGTGACTATAAAATCCTGTTAGAGGAATAAATTTCTTTTCTTTTGATGGGTAGGTTGCCCAATGAAAGAGGTAAGAATTCAAAATATTAGTGATTTCCCCTTAAGTGACCGAATACTGGGTACTCTACCCTATTCCATGACCACGTGCTTCGTTTCCGTGTCTTTATATGGACTAACAAGTCTGTCTACATGCTGTACAGAAGAAGAAATAATCTTTCTACAGATCTTCATATATTAATTCACGGATCGTAATCATGATACTTTGTTTTCAGATTCAATCTTTCAGATATATTTTTCATAAAATCTTTTGTCGTACTTTTGTCGTAGCTAGATCTAGCCTTAAGGGCTCTCTCGAAATGTTTTTTTAATGATATTATTCGAGAGAGCCTTAAACGGCTCCCATACCCCTGCACGGAGAGGCATGTAAACAAAACTCAAAAGTGGTCCAAAATCACACTTTCGCGCACCCGACCAATATTGGACAGTGGCTTTGATAAATTTTGTCGTAGTTTTGGTCTTAATTACCGCTTTAATTTCAAAATCGGATCTAAAAATAACAAAATAAGAGCAATTTTCTTACCAGACCGATACAGCTCAGCTCCCTTTTCACGTGTACCGTGTGAATTCACGATGTCTACACAATGGTGATGACCTCTGACTGGCACTTCGTAAATGCGCTGCTTCCGTATAATGCGCTGAATAACACTCATACAGCGCATTATACGGAAGCAGCACAATTTACCCACAATTACGGAAGTGCCAGTCAGAGGTCATCACCATTGTGTAGACATCGTGAATTCACACGGTACACGTGAAAAGGGAGCTGAGCTGTATCGGTCTGGTAAGAAAATTGCTCTTATTTTGTTATTTTTAGATCCGATTTTGAAATTAAAGCGGTAATTAAGACCAAAACTACGACAAAATTTATCAAAGCCACTGTCCAATATTGGTCGGGTGCGCGAAAGTGTGATTTTGGACCACTTTTGAGTTTTGTTTACATGCCTCTCCGTGCAGGGGTATGGGAGCCGTTTAAGGCTCTCTCGAATAATATCATTAAAAAAACATTTCGAGAGAGCCCTTGGCTTAAGGCTAGCTAGATCTATATTTACAGATTAAAAAATTGAAATTGTACCTATTTACTTAGATTTATAGACTCTCATGACTCTGTACTTCGACAGCATCTTTCATTTATCAAATTATTCTGCAATTCCAAACAGATGCAATCATTTTAATTATGTTTTGTGATGCTCACCCTCGTCACATTTGTGCAAGCATTTCACATCAATCACTTCCTTCACAGCCAGCTCTTTCTTCGAAAAATCGACCTTGATTCCCAGGTGAAAATGTGTGATTTTGATGTGCCTGAAGTTGGAAGCAGTAGTATTGTCTGTTGTGGTATCAGAATGCAAGGGCTGTTGTTTAGTCCTCTTGGATGCCTGTTCTGCAACACTGGTATCTGATTGAGCACTCATCTTGAATTCGATGCTTTGTGAGATGTTGCATACAACAGTACAGTACAGTGCAGTATCACATGCATACAAACTATAGGGTAAACAACACGAGCAGCACACGCCGTCCTAGGATTAGTCTTCGGCAATACCTTTGCACTTATTTGTTGATGTTCGAAGTTTAATTTATGAAATAATATATCTGTCAAGTAGCTGTCATAATTAAATACAGGCTGAATAAATTGCAATCACGTGAATATTTCAATGTGTTTTAAAAGACATGTTTTGTTTGAAAAATGACCCAGTGATTCCTATACTCTTTTCAACTCAAAAATCATGAAAAATTACAATTGAAAGTCAAATAGAATCTCAAAGGGTCTGGGTGCAAAGAATAAGTTGGCATTCAGTCCGAATGCTAAAATGTCTTTTTATTGATTCCCTGGACGACTGCATATGAGGTCAAAACTATATAAAAATCTAAAATTAAAGTATGTTTGTTTAATTGGGGGAAATGTTTTGCTTTTTTGTTTTGGAGGGATTGGTCGTTTTCTTAAGCTATAAGTCAAATCCTCATGGGTCCGATTAAATGGGATCACCTCATAAAATTGAATAGCTGTGAAAAGAAAACACAAATAAGAATATTACTCAATTAAATTCAGATTTGATAACTGTCAAAACTTTTCCTAGATTCATCATTCATATTCCTGGATTAACAAAACAATTACATGGGTGTATAAACTACAAATGTTATATTTGTTTTTCCTTTCACAATTGGAACTTAATTAGTCAAATCAGTCCCCATGAATATAGCTCCCCATGTAATCTATCATTGAGTTTTATTGTTCCAGTAATTCCAATTTGCCATATGTGGTGACTTATCTAGATTCATTTTCTTTGTAAAAGGCCCAATGGATATCATTACTTTTAACCCTTACTGTACTGGGCTATTTTGAGCACCTCACTGACTGGGGGGGGGGGGGGGAGGGAGGGGGCTCCTGGCCCCCTCCCCCCCCCCCCCCCCCCATGATCTTGGCCGTCAGATGTCCGATGAACTCAAAAATTTGCATGTTTGTAGATATTTCCGTAAGAAACAAGATGGTAAAATTAGTTTTTTTTCCTAATATGCAAATTGTTGTCGTTATAGCCTAATTAATTATGCAAAAGCTAATTTTATGCATTTTACAGAAAACTCTACATATTTGTTTGTAGACTTGTGAAGATTCTTGGAAAATTTATTGAGTAAATGTTTCCTTCTCAAATTCATGAGGTTTCATTATTTGTATATTTGAAAACGCATAGGTTAATTTGCATAAATTATGAATACGCATTCAAAATTCATCATTTTATCTTATGTATTTTATTGTTTTTTTTATTTCTTATTTTATCTATTGTTTTATTTCTAATATATTCTTGTTCTGGAATACATCAAGTTACTTTGAGAAACATATAAAAGCAATTTGATATCAATCCATATCCCCCACTTAGGAAGAAATACATCTAAACCGTATTCACATTTCTGCTTGTACATGAATATATGCAATTATATCACTTTTTGATGACATGCGCACTAATTGTTATGTAACACCTTACAGGTATATCAGATTTCGACGAAAATGGTATCAAAATGTGCATAAGACTTGAGGGGAAAAAGTCATGAAACAACAATTCAAAATTACGAGCGGTTGCAGTGCAATCTCCGAAAATGTCGAGGGGGGCCTCCCAGGCCCCCCTCAAATGGTGCCTATTTTGCATTGTGCAAAAATGCACATGTGGAAAACAATCAGCCGTGCAGAGAGGCAAACAAAATGTTTATCAACCTGAGTGTTGGCTCAGTCAGTAGAGCATCCGCCTCACAACCGGGAGGTCGTGGGTTCGAATCCCGGCCGCGTCATACCAAAAGACGTTAAAAGATGGGAGTTGTTGCTACCTTGTTTGGCGTTCAACAATAAGGGATAGAGCAACGTCGATCTGGCGCTGCTCAGTGGCTGCCGGGCTCACGATTAATTGGGCAAAAAGAATTTCCGTTTCGGTTTAATAAAAAATTTAAGACCGGAGTGTTGGCTTAGTCAGTAGAGCGTCCGCCTCACAACCGGGAGGTCGTGGGTTCGAACCCCGGCCGCGTCATACCAAAAGACGTTAAAAGATGGGAGTTGTTGCTACCTTGTTTGGCGTTCAACAATAAGGGATAGAGCAACGTCGATCTGGCGCTGCTCAGTGGCTGCCGGGCTCACGATCAATTGGGCAAAAAGAATTTCCGTTTCGGTTTAATAAAATTTGGAGTGGACTATTAGGCTATTATTATTATTATTATTATACAAGCTGATTAAAGCTGAGGAGTGGATGAATCCAATATAAAACTATATTAACACTGACATGCAAGTACTACATAAAGACACATCACAAGATTTCTGCAGTTGCTTATAAATTTATTTCATATTTCAAGTGCCACACTTTGCATGAATTGACAGTTGAATAAATATACAAAAACAGAAAGAAAGAATTCTAAATCATTACAGGTTACACGATGTTAATTCTGTGAGAAAAAGACAGTATAGCTAGTTGCATTGGATAGTAAACAAACATGGTGCAATTATAACTTCATCAGCTATTTGTTCCACGATTATTATTTTACAAAATATTTACAAAAAAGAAAGGTTATTAATTATGTTTGATCTATGCAAAAGTTGTTTCTAATAATAAACAATGATTAATCAACTTTTAAGGTACAAAGTAGTATTGGTTTATAATGAATAGGTATCAAAATCTAGTATACTTTAAAAATGTAGGAAACAAATTATGCAGCTTTTTTTCTTTAGTGTTCTTTAAAGGTTCCCAAATATTTTTAATTAAAGCTCAACTTAAAATTGAATAATGATCATGGATGATCTATAACCATCTGACAAATAATTAATACATGCATGTTCAAAAAGAATATACTACAACATTAAGGACATGTATTTATCTCCTGAGAATTGAATTTGTACATTATATACAGATACCTGTATGAGGGAGGGGACATGGGTGTTGGGTGGCAGTGACGGTTAGAATCCTTAAACTTAGAATCCCTTAAAACAAACAATGTAGCAACGGCACTTCCCTAATTGTAAGAAAAGAAATATATTCAATACACTATATGCTAGTTAGGTCTGGTTAAAATGTGGAAAACTATTATCTACAGCTGACTAAAACAACTTCCAAAGAAGAGTTTGGGCAAAAAGAAAACTATCCTGTATTCTATAAAAACATTTAAATTTACTTGTAAACAAGATTAATTTTTACCATTGGTATGAATTAACAGTACACATTGATAATTTAGCCACTTGATAATGGCACTTTCAGTCAAAGTCAACAAGCAACAGTTTTTTTTTTCTGTAAAAGGACTTTTTCTTCAACTTGTTTTCACAGATGTTTAGAGAACTATATATATGTATTGCTCATACAAGTGTATATCTACACACTACACACAAAGAAACACACCTTTTAAAAAAGACATCAAAATTCAATTTTGATGAAATCCAAAGAATCACAAAAAGTATTACGATACCCAACACATCCCAAATTTTATTGCTGAAAAATAAAATATACCTTTATTACCTCTCTTATAAATTTGACACTGGATTCTATTATTGGTCTTGAACTAGTTGAAAATCTTATTCTCTTTCAAGAAATATGCATATCAAATATGCACACGAACATGATGAAAAATTCACACACAAATTTGTCAATTCTTTTTTCCAAAATAATTTCTAGGCAGCGATGAATTTGGATGGAACATTACAAGATCAAAGATGAATATCAGAATTGTGGTGACTATTCACAAATATTCAGTACTATATAGATTTGTATTTTGTTTTTTCCTGTCACAGTAAGCTTGTAATAAAATGTATATATTTTACCCCCAAAATATGATACATTCTGTTGTACAGGTAATTCCTATGTAAACATCGATCTACATTGTAATTAATTGCAAGGACGGTTTTAACCAACAATTTACATTGAGCTATGAGACCTACACATTTTCTTTAAATTCACAAATGAGAAAAAAGGGACCTCATTAGTCACATCAACACACATCACAACAATTACAATAGTTTTTACAACATATTTCATATTGTTTTTACAATAAATTTGATGTGGTAGTTTAGAGAAGGTTCTCTCACGTGCAAAATACATTTTAGAAAAATATAATGTCATAAAACTCATCTCTTTATGAACGATACCGGTATATAACTTGGCAATGTTATTACTATCAGGAGTTTTCATGACAACACATTGTACATTGGCATTTTTTTAATTGTTTATGTAGAGTGTGTTATGAGCCATCAGGACAGTAACTCAATATTGAAGTGATATATGCATGTTGTCTGTTTGGAGCTAAAAGGGCAATATTTCATATACTTTAACATCTTTATACTAATATACTTCCATATATTTTACACTTGATTCATAAAGTAATATACCTTACACAATGATAGCATTGAATATATACACATGCATGCTCATTTTTATTCTGAATTAGTAAAATTCTATGAATCAATTAATTTGTTATCCAAAATCTGATACTTTGGTACATGTATAAAGCAATTCAGATCTGTACATCTTCATAAATCTCCTTGTTCACAGTTAAACAATAAAAATAACTAGAGTACCTCATATACATCAAAAATCTACAACACGATATTTACATATTGATTTGTTTTCCATTTTATTTCAATAAGGTCTCCTCTTCAGTTAACTAACTGCTGTCCTCAAGGGCGCTGTCTACAAAACAAATTTTTTTTTTAAACAAAAAAAAGTTCAAGAAAAAAATTAATTCTGCAATGATTAAAATCATGTACTCTTTTCCCAATCATTTATAACGATTAAATCCATCCAAACTCCAATTAATAACCCTTACTTGCTCTTTGATTACAAAAACACACCCAATTCCTTGTTCGTTCATTTAAAAAAAAAATCCCTCTAAAAAGCTTGCAGCATTAATCAACACAGAGCAGAGGATTCTTCATGTTTTGACATACTACAAGAAAACTCTTTCCAAAATTGTGAAGAGCAGAGCGAATTGGAACACTTTGGCAAAAACACCAACAAAATGTACTTGTATCTGTTCTGCAGCAGGAATGTGGTATAGATTATAAAGAAAGAAGAAGAAATTTAAAAGAGTTTAACCCATCAAGGAACACAGTCCACATTTTTTGTGCCTGAAAAATTGAATTTTTATTGAGAGCCGTTAAAATGTAGCAGATAGATTTGTTGAACTACCTGATGTTGTTAGATGCCAGGAATTTCAAAAGAAATACATAAAGATTAAAATCTTTTCATTTTAAGAGTAAACATTGAAAGCTACAAAATCTACAAGTTTCCATACAAATAGTTTTAATTTTGAAAGATGATGTCCATTTATTTTCTTTAAGAAACACAATTTTCATTTAAATATTATATACAACATTATAGAAATAAAAAAAATATAAAAGTTGCCAATTTGATGAAAATATAAAGTGGTATTGGGGGCCGGGGACGAGGCTTATTCTCCACTTAAGGCTGACACCGCGTCGAGGACGGTTGAAAGATCGTTAGCAACCTCCTTGAATGAAAACTGGAAAGAGAAGCAAAGAGACAGGAAGACTTCCATTAATTTGACAATATAATATGAACACTGCTAATTTGCCAATACTAGTGAAACCTGTCTATAAAGACCACCCAAGGGAGACAAGAAAAGTGGTCTTTATTGACAGGTGGCCTTTATGTACAGGCTCCTTTAGTACATGTTTCAATGAGAAACCATTTTCAAGGGCAACAAAAAATGTGGTCTTTGTAGACAGGTGGTCACGAAAGCAGGTTTGACTGTATCAGCCAAAACGACACTTGATAAAATGACATATCAAGCTTTCAGGGTTTTTTTTCTTATCTCATAACGTTTTGCCGTGGTAGTTTTTCTGTAGCGTTTGCTGCCTATGTGTAAACAGGTGTGAAATGAGACTAATCATCAAAAGATATATTGCACTCTGTTAGTTTAGAATTCCATGCCAGTATACTAAATTCAAAGAATCAGCTTCAATAGTATTTCTGTACAGAGATAACTCCAGATAAAATAGCACTTAGTATACACAAGTATAAAATGACTGGCAGGTAGACAAGCCTCCACACTTTTAGGTAAACAATTGTGGACAAAATGTTAATTCCAAGTTAATGTCAATATGGGCCCAGATATGAAATAATTTGTCGTCTAAACCACTACAGTTCAAGGGGATGACATTAATTTGATGTCTTAATTATGATAAACTAATAACTTTTCTTAATTAACGCGCCATCAAGGATTAAAGATAGGCTTACCTTCTTGAGGATGTTGTTCTTCTCGTAATGCTCTACCACTGCAGGAGCCTCCTTCTCAAAGGCATCCATCTTGTTCTTGGCGACCTCCTCTGTCTCCTCTCCCCGTTCTCCTGCCTCCTTCTTCCCCTTCAAGCTCTCCTCTGCCTCCTCCCGGGTGCCATCCAGGTGGATGAAACCTGTCACCCTGCCAATTTTCTGTGAAAGCGAGATGAGAGTACCAACAATGATCAATTATGATTTTATAGTCCATACAGGCACTTCTGAATGTGCTTTACAAAGATAGTACTGAAAATAGTTACTTAATCTACTAAGAAAGAATCATAGAATTAGTCATTGAAGTAAAGGGGGAAATAATTTATGTCATTGCTTGACTGATATCAGCACTATAACAATCATGAAAGAGAGTAGATCTTCAGAATTCCAACTTTCGCAAAAGGAACACATGCCACACAGGACCTGTCTTCATGGTAAGAAAATAAACAGCTGGTGTAAATTGAGGACTTATAATACACATTCGTAGTATGTTATTACATATTTAAGGACACATTTTGGTAGAAATATAACGTCCTGAGGACAATGTGAAAGTTAACAGCATAACTGAGGACTTACATTTTCTATTCAATAGAGCACCTAAATAACGTACCCCTATATGAAATGATCTCAAATTATAAACAATTTACAGGGTCTTGAACCATGTGCATCCTCGTTTTGCGAGTGGTCGCCAAAGTGAAGGTCAAGATTTTAAGAGTGTCCTCGGTTCCAATTCATCCACACACAAACCATGGATATCAAAAGCAAATTCTACATACCGATTCATCAAAGGCAACAATCTGCTCCATTGACTTGGGGAAGCTGTCTAGGACAAACCCTGCAGCATCACTGTTAGCCTCCACCACCCTCCCGAGGATACTGAGAAGGATGCCTGTAGCGACCAGTGACCCTTGAGCCAGAGCCGCAGCAATGGCTTCACTCATTCCCTGATCAAGGTTGGAGGAGTCAGAGAGGACACTGCCTGCAGAGAGGTGCTTGAAGTTCATCTTCTCGGCCAGGGCCTTAGCTACAGCTTTCTTGCCAGTGCCGGGGGCACCTGTGGAGGAGAAAGAATCAGGAGATTATCATCAAAGAATGTTTGATGTTTTGCTTATGCTTACTATGCACATTGATAACGGGCTGTTGACCCCAAAAAAATAATTTCAAATATTTCTTCACCTTTATGTATCAATAAAACTCATGAAAACTTATGCTAAAACGAAGGTTGATGACTAACTATATACAATATAGGAATCACTCTCATGCAATGCAGCCATCCCCATAATACAAGAGGCTCATGAATATCAAAAACATTAGCCAGGATACCAGGTCCTAGCATGTTAACATTAAATCAATGAACTTCTATTTTAAGGAAATCCAATTCCATTCTCTACTTGGAAACATATCGAGGTTTTACAGTTACCGGTATGCTATTTGCTATCTATTGGGCATCCATCAACATGTATGTTGTTAGCTTCATGATGATCAATACTTCTAAGATCAACCCATCAATGAATCTCCCAAGATGTACTTGGTCAATATTGCTTACCAACGACAAAGAAGAAATCCTTGGGAGCAGGAGCCTTGGCCTCCTCCACTTTCTCAGTCTCCGCTGCACCATCAGCAGGTGCTGCCTCTTCTGCCGGTGCCTCTTCTGCCGGTGCATCTGCCGGTGTTTCTTCGGTTGCTGGTGCCTCTGCTGGTGCCTCTTCGGTTGCTGGTGCCTCTGCTGGTGCCTCTTCGGTTGCTGGTGCCACAGCAGGTGCATCGGCCTGTGCCTCTGCAGGGGCGTCAGTTGTTGCTTCGACTGCTGGTTCCTCTGTCGGTGCATCCCCTGTAGTGGGTGCTTCAGCCGGTGCTTCAGTTGCCTCAGTGGCGCCCTCTGTGGGAGGTGCAGCCTCCTCTGTGGTCTGGGGTTCTTCTAGAGCCTTGAAACCGCATCCATCGAAGATCTCCTTCACCAGGACGAAGACCTCCTCTGAACCTGCCTCAGCAGAGACCTACAAAGGAATTAAGAAATGTTTAATATTGCATCTAAATGTGCTTCCCAACAGGTACATCTATATGTCACAAACAAATGCACCATTTTCAACAGTGAAATTTAATTCAACATCTAATGAAGATCTGAACTTTTAAAAGATGTAAAATTACAGTATTGTTCTAGAGGTTAGGATCAATCATTTGATCCTTCTCTTATAGCAACTAGATTGTCATTGTGGACCGCTATCTATTTTGCAATCTTCAATTATTTTATTTTTTTTAATCATATTTTATGCTTATTTTCCTTGTAAGAATCTTTAGTATTATACAACAACACATCATTCAATAAAAATGGAGAGTCTGTGCAATTTTTTTTCCTCTCTCTGCCCATTCACATGGTAATTTCTTTTAAAGCTCAAGATGAAATCACAAATATTGAGCCAGCCTACAAATTTTAAGCAACTTTCAAGGAAGGGTAGGAAGAAAAAAAAATGTTTATCTCTCTCTCACTGACCATCTTGAGCTTTCCCTTCTCTGTGTAGCAATCTACGACAGGTTTGGTCGATTCGTGGAACGTTGCCAGCCTCTTCTTTATCGTTTCTTCATTGTCGTCGACCCGTCCGCTGGTCTTTGCACGATTCAAGAGCCTCGCTGTCATGGTTTCATCTGACACCTCAAAGTAGAGTGTGAACGTGCACTCTCCAATCTGAAGACAGACAGAACGAATAGATTCATAATATGCTTATAACACTTGTGGAGATAAGAGGAAATCAACACAACATAAATATAGATAAATATTTACATACATATTTTAGAAATACTGGTACATCAAATGATATCAGTAGTGAAATAATATTTGTGTATGATACATGTACAAGTAACAGTTAATAAAGATGTTTGCAGCATAATGCTATGTCAGATCTAAGAACTGTATGACACAATCATAAGATCAATGATACTTTTATATCACTGGTGAAGACAAATATATAGCTTCTGAAAAGTACTAATAAAAGTCCACAAAAAAAAAATTCTTATCTAGAGCTAACAACAACAGAATGTGAATATACATTCTCTATAATCAGATCACAGTAAAAACAGACTCATAGTACTTTTTAAATACTGGTAGATCGAGACAAAGATACAAGTAGTCTTGAAAGATACAAACAGAGTTTTTCATCATCCAAACGCTCAAATAAGTGTGAGCATGAGGGTATAATATATGTGTGTGCGAGTGGGATTTTACAGCTTTGTATCAAACAGGTACTATTTATATTTGGGGACTGGCATTTTAAATTAACCATTTGAAAGAAATGACTCACTTTCGAATTCAGGAGTCAGTTTATTTTGTAGGCGAAGACAGAGAGCTAATTATTGTACCACCAACATTACTGCTAGGCCAACTACCGGAATACAACCCTTTCAAAGAGCTGTTAAACCATATATGTATGGTAACTCTAAGTTGGACCAGTCTTGAAACAGACAAACTAGTAAATGAATTCTTAGCAAAGAAGAGAAAGTTTGATTCTTACCTGCTTTTCAAACTCTGCTCCTTGTTCCACTTCCCTGGGGTACCCGTCAATCAAGAAACCGGTCGATGTCTCAGCAACTGCGATCATCTTCTCCTTCAGCAGTGCCAACACGACATCCTGGATTTTAAAAAATAAGATACAATAAAACAAATGGTTTGGTTTGGCTCGATATATGTTGTTAATCTGACTGTTAAAAAAGCATGTGTATGCAGGGGACCAGCAGCTTTAAGTTTTCTCTGAGGGACTTTTTAATGAGGATTAATGCCTTACCAAAGGGCACTAGCACATCGACTTGGTTTCAAAACCTGGACCTTCATGTTACTCCTGAGCCATTGCGACTCCTCTTGAATACATCACAATTACATTTGAAAGCAGCTCTGCATTCAACTGTCTTCTACAGAGCTGTCAATAAATCAATCTAAGAGTAACATAATAAGAAACGATGAGTGCATAAATAAAGCAACACATTAACCTACATTTGCCACTATCCACCCAGGTGTTAATGGGTATCAGTAAGAGAGAATTCCTTGAAAGCTTTGAGCACCGAAATTAGTAGCCTAACAGAGCCAGGGAAATATTTGAAGTGCCTTCAGCTCCTTGCATGGTGTTTACATGCACAATAAAAATATCCATTATTATTATTTATACGATTCAAAATAACTTAATGTATGTAATTTTCAATGGAATAAAAAAATATTCAAAGAATTGATGCATGAGATCTTGTTTACCAAAGGTACAAGCTGTCCCTTTTCCATGATCTCTGTCAGTTCCTTGCCCCGATCTGACCCTGACGCAACCTCTGCCCTCAGGAGGTCACCACTGGACAGGTGGGTGAAGCCATATTTGGAAACAATGTTTGCACATTGTGTGCCCTTGCCTGAGCCTGGTCCCCCTATAGCAACAGAAAAATCAAACTTGTCATTGATAAATAGAATGCATAATTTCACAACTTTGGACACTCTACAGCAATAACATGACAAAATATACAGTGTATACAAATGTCATGTTAAAATATTCTTCAAAGTATTCTTTCAGACAATTGTTGACTGTTATTACCCAAAAGGGCATAAACTCTCTGAAAAAGTGTGTGAGTTAACACCCTTTTCAACAGTATGCCTATCTCACTTTGACATTTTTTCTTTTGTCTTTGATATAGTGTGTAAAAAGAGATATATAAGCATTAAACATTGGTCAGGAAAGGAACAGAATCTTATACAAGCACAGTGAAACAAACTTTGCACATCAGCACGCCCCCCCCCCCACCCCCCCTTCATTAGCTTGACGTTGTCTTAACTAAAAAGAATCTTGTGAATAGTGGGAGAGCTAGAGCTTGAGCTTTCTTTTTCTTTCTCTTTCTGCTCATATTTTGATTGTGATGCTGCTCCTATTCTACTCCTATTCTACTTTCATATTCACATTTATATTCATACCAGAATTTATCCATGATGTGATTCAGAATTGTATTTAAAATTTTTGCTATGTACAGTGTATTCGTCATATACATTGTAACTGTCTTGTTATGTTTTGTGCTGAAAGCCGGAGGACCGTACCTGCTCATAGACTTTTTCTTTTTAGAGTCTTGACGCCTTTCTGGCTTTCAGCACACGACACCATGTTTTTTTTCTTATGTTTTACATATTACATGTTACACCAATGGAAAACAAATATCTGTATTATATATGGACAATGAAATCTTGAATCTTGACATTTCAATGCAGGAGGCAAAAAAAATCACAAGAGTGTTAACTTCAGGTTTTGTTATAGCATAAACTTTAAAAGTTGCAGTTGACTCACCTACAACAAAAATGATCTTAGCATCTTTCAGCTTGGCTTCTGCACTCCCATCTGCAATACAAACAATTGGAACATGTAGTTATTATACATGCTAAATGAATATTCAAATTATCCAACTCTAAATAAAAATGGACATACTCAAATTACACATATCTATACTTACTGTTTTTTTGTTTTCTTATTTTCATTGTTTTAATTGACAACCCCTTGGATCTTAATTAGCACACAAATCTTTTAAAAGGTAGAGGAATCACAGGCATGTGCCATTTTTCAATTTCTGTATTTCCATGATCTCTGCAATTGGGAATACAACTGTAGTATCCTAACTTCTCGTTATTTGTAAATATGCTTCCTCTCCGATTGATCAATAAAGTATATTTGTTTATCAAAAATAAATATTTCTATGCCTTATATAACTCATCTGTTCCTGTTCCTCCTTATTTCTCATTTCCTTGCTTTTTCATCTCTTTCTTTTTGCATACTGTTCTCCTTCTATTTCACCTGTATCTGCTATTGTCTATCCATTCCTTTGTTAAACAATTTTCAAATATCAATATGATTAACTAAATCTTTATAGTCTTCATAAATATACCAATACTGCTATATACTGTATATGTACATGTATATATTGCCATTAAATCTACCTTCAATAGTCACCATGATAACAATGTTTTAAACCTACCTGTAGAGGGCAGTGTGCTATCATCACCTCCTGTCACTGGTGATTGTTCTGCAGTTATTGCTTCTTCTACCACTGAAGAAAAAAAATGAAACAAGAAAATAGCTTTTAATTACATGCACATTCAAAGTCTCGCTACATGCACATTTAACTGTGGAATATAGAATACAATATTATTATTTTTAATTGTATATTAAATGAGACAGTGTCAATGGAAGTTATGAAAAATCTACAAGAAATAGCCAATTGGTACTCAAAGATAGTGATTATTCATTTGCCTAAGTATGCTTTGCCAGTTTAATATCTTTGATTATTTTAATCTCATTCACTAACAGCACAATTAATGTACTGCACTAGAAATTGACTCAAATGGAAATTTTAAACTTTCTGCTCAAGTATATCTTGTAATTCAGATCCTTCTAGATCAAAAGATGATACATTGATACTAATTTATTGACATAGATTACAACAATGAATTCTGGAGAGTTTGGTGATGATAACCAACTTTGAAAAAAACTGAAAAAACAGCTTTTAGCTGATTGAGAGAAGATATCTACTGTGATCAAATAAATGAAATACAAATGCACTTTTTGGTATGTGAAAGAGATTAGAACTAAATGATGATTTATTCATTACCTTCTGATTTGCCATCTTCTCCTCCCCCTGTTACATTTGAATCAACTTTCTCCACAGCAGGCTCCACAACCACTGAAAACACAAGGAAAGAAAGGATTACAAAATACATTATCAAAAGAGCTACAGTGAAACCTGTTTATAAAAACAACCCAAGGGAGACAAGAAATGTGGTCTTTATAGTCAGGTGGTCTTTATGTAGAGGTTCCTTTAGTAATGAGGAACCATTTTCAAGGGAAACTAAAAATGTGGTCTTTGTAGGCAGGTGGTCGCTAAACTGGTTTTGACTGTAAAACCAATTTATTATTCCGATGTATCCTTCTGCTCCCTTCTCATTTTTCTTGCTTTACCAAAAAATCCACATACAATTGTGTGCTAGTTAACAGTATGTCATTTTGCCATCAAAAAGAACATAACACAATCTTTCAATAAATTCACTGACTGAAATTGTATTTAAGTGATCATAAGAATGTTTTTCTTTCCTTTTCTCACTTAATTAATTAATTTCAATAAGAGGGTAATTAAATAAAGAAAGATGTATAAACTTACAATCCACAGAAACTCCACTGTTGAGTAATGCAACTGCTTCATCAACAAGAGCTTCCTTTTCAGCCTGAATGAAATAAAGAAAAGAAAAATGAATTGAATTAAAACCTTCATCTCAAGCAATAGTTAAATATGTTTCATTATTTCTAATTGCATTGATAATTGCTTCTGAATTCCCCAAAATAAGAAAATGAAATATTGAGACTTCATTTACAAACATCTACAATAATTTATCTTTATAGAGATAAGTAATAACAAAATTTGTGTGTACACTGTATTAGTATCTCAGAGATTGCAAATTAGATGCGCAGCAAAAAGTTTGAAAGTTATGAATTTGGCGTCGAAAGATGCGCGAATTCAAGGCTTAAAAGTTATGAAAACATGGAGCAAAAAAAAATCTAAGACGTTATTGGGGATTTATAAAATGGCTCTAGTATTTTAAGCATCGTGATTGGTCAATACGCGTCACATGACATTGAAAAAATTTTGATGCAAGCACGATTTTGCAGAAATGAGTGCAGAAAAAGCGCAGTAAAAAGTTATATTGCACGGTGCGTACGCGTGACCATGGAGATCCAGTGCGCGCGCGTACGTGTAGTACGCGCTCCCTCGAGTTGCATTGCAATTATTGTAGGCTACGCGTAGCTAATATTGTACGCTCCACCATGATCCCCAGCGCAACGTACGCGTAGCTAGCTCTAGCTAGCTAGTATAGAGCGGCCAGCGGGGTATTATTAAAAAGCAAATTTTTATTTTACTTTTGCCTTGGATTTAGGCCTGTTTTGACTTTTGGATTTTATAATGAAGCCAGGAATTTCAGCTGTCTGATGTAGACTCGTCTCTAGACCCACTGTATGGATTTTATTTTTAATCAAGGCAATGAATCCCATTGACTTTTTGGTAAGCCTGCAAGGTCTTAGTCTAATTAGAAGTAGTCTAACAACAGTTAGAACCAACATAACTCTAGATCTAGATCTAGATCGAACTCTCGTAGACTCTAACTTATTAGATCTAAAGTTTCGTTTTTGCTATTTGTGTCGCTATTTTATAAAACAAATAACGCACTTGACCCTGTTGTGCAAAACGTAAATGCAGTAAACGCTCGGTTTCTTCAGATGGTTCGCACTGTCAACTCGCCGCAAGCGGCTCGTTGCACAGAGCGGCACCAATCTAAAGAAACCTCGCGCGTACTGCATTCACCGCTATTGCACTCTGGGACGTGCGTTATTTGTATAATATTACAGGAGAGTGAAACCCATGCAGATATCCCCTATCCCGTCCCTTTTAGGATTAATAATTTCATTGAGTCATATCAGAAAGATGAAGGATGTTTCTCTTATAGTTACCTCTGCTTGTGATTGCTCTTGACTTGTTTGATCTTCTTTCTGGCTTTTGATTGGAGGGAGTGGACTGGATTTCCCAGGTGTACCTAAAAACAAAACAAAACAAAACAAAATTCATCTCAAGATAAGGTACATGCCATTACAGCCATTCATTTATTAACGCTTCAAAAACAGGTTGTATTATTTACAGGTTGTATTATTATATATGCATGATTTATTGAATAAAGAACAGATGTATAAGTTGTGTGTTTATTATAAGTTTTGGTAAATAATTGTTAAGTCAGAATATGGTGCGCTTAGAGACATCAGTATTAAGCGCCTTATAAATATTGTTTATTATTATTATTTATTATTATTTCTATTGTATTTACAATTAAATATCAATATATTCAAAGAATAACAATTGCTTTAACCAACTTGATAACTTGATGATGTCATTCTATTAAATTATTTCGTTCAAATCTTGATCAATCACTCTTGTATTGTCTGTACCATGCATAATTCATGTTTGAAAAGCTTATGAAGCTAATGAAATTACAGAAACATAACACAATTGGATTATAAAATCATATTGCTATTAGTATTTCCATTTGTTGATTCTGTACATATATTAATGGTAAATTGGTTACATTTGTATACTATGTTGTAAATTCTGTCTTTTATCTGTAAACTATCACAATTAATTCACCAAACTGGTTATGAATTAGATACGTTTTTGAAGGAATCTTTAACATTTGATCTTAAATCATTCCGTTAACCACAGACCAAATTCCAAAAAATATATGTACCCGCTTTATGAATTGGCCCTGCAAAACATATAATGAAAAAGCTCTGGAATAGTAATAATAGTACTACTACTACTACCGGTAATAATAATAATATAGCTTCATTTATATTGTGCACAATCCCAGGTGAAGCTCAATGCCCCTATAAAGTGTTACTCTGGCTTTAGCCCAGCTGCCCTAATGCGCAATTTAATTAAAACAATATCAAAATAATAATAAGGTTACGTTAGCTAAATATACAGATATCAGATATGAATTCAAATGAAAGGGCAGATACAGTTAACAGCTGATACAAGGTCACTTTATTTAGTCTTGATAACCAGACTTACCTGGTGGTGCTGGTGTCTTGGGTGAGAAGAAGAGACTGTCAATCATGTTTGCAACATCAAAGAACACTTCATCCTCATCCCGGTCTGCATTTACCTGCAAAATAACCATCAATAATAATAATAATATAGATTAAACATAGACCATTGGAAGGTGAGGTGGAACACTTGCTATTATATTTTACAAAACAACAAAAGAATGTTAAATTCGAATTACTTATTTCAACTTTCAAATAAATATTCTTCTGAATTTTCATCACTCATCAATTACAATTTAAAGCATTTAGACTTGACTATTATTATTATTATTATTATTATTTTCACTGTTATTATTATTATTATTACTATTATCATTCAGCTGTCAAAGAACGTTAACAACTTTCTTCTGCACTTTGAGATGAAAATGATGCATCCAAAACAAAGATTCATACAGATTAATAAAACTTTCAAAAAAAGTTGCAGATTTTTCAGAAGTAAAATGAGCCAAAACCTAACTATTAAAGGACATAAGATTCTATCATGGAGAATGCTCTCTCCTCATCATTGACAAAAAACTAATTGAGATTTAATATTACTAAAAACCTAAGAGAACATAAAAATACAATCCTAAATTAAACTATATTAAAGCAATTGAATTTAAGAATATAATTGGATGGCATCTTACTCCTCTAAGAAGGCCATCCTTGGCGTTGTAATGAGTGACGACGGGCAACGTCTGCTCCCTAAAAGCTTCCAGTCGCCTAGCAACCACATCTTCTTCTTTATCATCCTCTCTCTCACTAGTATCCTTCCTCTTCTCAAGACGGTACTTGAGACGCACTTCATCGCAGTCCAGCGAGATGACAAGGTCGGGGGTTCCGTACTGAGTTAAAATTAAAAATAGAGAATAGAGCTTTCGAGTTAAAGTCATAACATCCAAACCTCTTATAGGCTGAAGTACATACTGTACATTAATTAGATAGTTTATTCCTCAGCACTATACATCCTGACTTATGGATCCTGCTGAGTATCGTCGTAGAAGTAGAAGTAATTAAGTCATAATGTTATTTATACTCAGTACACAAGAATGGCTTTTTTATCATTATTATTTGAGTGCATGTTCCTTTAAACATGTCAGCGCATGAGTCTTCCAAAAAAAAAGGGGGCTATCAAGTCACAAATAGCAATTCAATTAGATAACTGTCAAATGATTTTTTTTTTTTTTTTTGGGGGGGGGGGGGGGGGTTCAAAATGGTAATTAAATCCTTTTTACTCTTGCAGTGCAAAAGTTTGTATCTTGTTTTCAATAATCTTGACCAATAAAAGCTGTCTTTTTTCTTTCGAAAAACTGGAAATAAAAAAGTACCGGTACATGAAATTTAAAGTTAAACATGAAGGAACAATATTTGTATTCATGTAATGAGGAATGTATGTATCTATATTTGGCAAATTATGTAGTCATTTGGGGGTCTGCCAAAAAGGCTTCTTTGATGTTTAGCATAAAGTATATATTTCTGGCGTTTTCTGCCCTTTGAGAGTGAACACGGATGTAAGTGGTGGCTCCAATCATAAGAATCAAGATGAATCATGAAGTCTTTTAAATACTTAATAGAAAACAAGTATAATATAATATAATAATAATAAATTATATTTCTATAGCGCATTATACAAGGTATGTCTCTATGCGCTTTACATTGTAAAGCATTTTGTGCCGACACAAAAATGGGCATAACTTTTATGCAGTTTCTTATGTTTTTTCTTTGGGGGGGGGGGAAGGTTCCTGAATTTTGCACACTTAGCAGCATTCATAATGGAGAAAGAATAATGTTCCAAAACACACAAATACAAATAAAAATACTATCAACAAATTCTTGGCTACTATATTTACCTTATCTTGGAATAGCTTGGCTTGGGACATGGTTCGTGGGAAACCCTCAATGATGAATCCAAGAGTCGTTGGGTATTTCTTCAACTTCTTCTCGATCTTGTGTTGAAGGATCTCATAAGTGTCGTCCTATAAACCATTGAAAATGAATAGATTTCACATAATAAACATACAAAATTCTATAAATATTGATTATTGAAATACCGGTAAACTATTAGTTAATAAATTATATATTTCAGTTGACCTCAGTACCTATCAAATTTTTTATTTTTTGCTGTTTAAAACTTGTGTTTGAGTAAACAAGATGAAAAAAACTTCAGTTTGTTTCTGCATAAAATTATTTTGAGAATATTTTCCTTTTTCTGAAACCATTTATGCTAGATTGCCTGCTAATCTTTTAACATTCTTTGATTTGTATATCAATCATTAGAAATGAGTGGAATTTCTCTGAAATACTAGGCCAGTACTCCAAATTTGAAATAGGAATTCTAGCCTTATAACAATTTGGTCTTGATACACGAAATGAGAAAAATGAGAGAAATAGATTGATGAATTACAGGCAAATATTATACAGATTACAAAAAGCTTTGATTTTTAATGCAATGTATATTTGATCACAGATGGCCTCTTCCAAGGAAATCACAAAAGCACTCATCAAATGTTGAAAATCTTACCTAAGACTTCAATAATCTGTTTCTCCTGCATTTATTCTGATTTATTTGAATCAATGTGCATGTACTTATATATCAGAGTAGACTTCTCTTTTAATATAGTTTACAATACTTTGTCAAACATCAGATCATTTTTTTTCTGTGAACGTACGACCATCTCCACATGTATGACAGAAGAAGCATCTTATAAATTTGACGTCAAGTAGTGGGATACATGTACGGTGAAAACTGTCTATAAAGACCACCCATGGGAGACAAGAAAATGGTCTTTATAGGCAGGTGGTCTTTATGTACACGTACAGGTTCCTGTAGTACATGTTTCAATGAGAAACCATTTTCAAGTGAAACTGTGGTCTTTGTAGACAGGTGGTCTTTCTATACAGGTGGTCACTAAAGCAGGTTTGACTGTATATATCTCACATCTTTGACTAGCCCTCCTGTCTTGATCAGGTCAGCCACACTCTTCCATGAATCGTCTTCCAAGAACTTAGCAACCTTCCTCCGCAAAGCCGTCCCCAGCGATAGATGGATGTAGCCTTGGTAACGCTCGGCTATCTTTGCACACTGCGTGCCCTTTCCACTGCCAGGCCCGCCTGATACGAGTAAAGAGCAAAGCGGATTAAATCATAATTGAATTAGCAATTATGATGATGGTCAAATGCACTTACATGTATACTGTGCTATTATATCAAAATAACTTGAAAAAGAGACCCTGACATTTGAAGGCACATGCATCGTGTACAATTAACAAAATATTTTAAAAGAATATGTAACAGACTACAGAGAGGTGTGAGGACTTGAAATCTGGCAAAATCCTGGAAGCTAGCATCCCTGGTTACAGGAATTTCTCCCTACCAGTACCATTTCCATGTGTACAAGTGTGGCATTTCCAGATGATTTTAATGTGGCAGAGACTTGAACCCTGTACCTTATGGACCAGTCTGGTCACTAATTCTCTGAACCACAATATGTACCCTGTTCCTCTACTCATCTCTTCTTAATTAGTATGTTAGAGAGAAAGAGAGAGGGGGATCGAGAACGAGAAAGAGAAAGAGAGAGGGGGAGATAGAGAGAGAGAGAGAAAGAGAGAGAGAGAGAAGTTGAGTGAGTGAGGGAGAGAGAGAGAGTGAAGAGAGAGAGAGAGAAAGAGAGAGATAGATTAAGAGAGAGAAAGGGAGAGATAAAGGGACAGATAGATTAAGAGAGAGAAAGGGAGAGATAGATTAAGAGAGAGAAAGAGATAGAAAGAGATAGAAAGAGAAAGAGCAAGAGAGAGAAAGAGAGAGAGAGAAAAAGAGAGGTTGAGTGAGGGAGTGAGAGAACAAATGATAGACAGAATAATGGTAGAGAGAGAAATTGAAAAAAATAGACAAACGGAGAGAGAGTGTGTTTGTGTGAAAAGGGACAACTCAACAATGCAATAATCCATCAATTATGTGTTGTACATAAATGTACATAAAAATTGTTTTCCAAGGGCAACTGTAATCTTATTAATTTGACATCCTGTAGTGACACAAATTTCACCTGCAATTTGTTTATCCGCAATAAAATTATGAAAGCATGAAATTAACCATGGATGAATAACTCCATGCCTACAAGAAGCACAATCACCTTGGGGTTGTTTTAAATAGTGTTAAAAATTGTACCTTTCCTTTTTGTCATGATTAAAATATATTGATTAAAAAAGGGCAATAAAATAAGCAGGTTGGTCTTTATCATGGATTGATTGCAAATGAGAGAAAGAGGGAGAGAGAGAGGGTGACATTTTTTTAAATAGAGAATTTTAAGCAAAATTCATGAAATGTCAGAGAGAGAGGGGGGATTAGAGGTAAAGGGAAAAAGATGAATATAATATATAAAGTATATAATCATGAAAGATGGCAAAAAAGAAAATTAGCTCTAGGGAGAAACATAAATAAAAGTACCGGTAGTCAAAATGTTAAAGAAATAAGAATTTTGGAAGGATTAAGGATGTATTATTTTTTGTATAGGAAAAAGGAAAAGGGAAGTTAAGCAAGAGAGAATTTGAGGATTTGAGGATTGTAAAAGAAGAGAGGGAGAGGGAGCGGGAGGAAGAGAGAAAGAGAGGACATAGAAGAAAATACAAATTAATAGAAACAGAGAGAGAGAAATAGAAAGAAAGGAAGGATAAGTGACAGACAGAAACGTGACAAAGATTTAAAAAAACAGAAGGAGAAGGTCAGACTTAGGTATACTGTCAGCCTAAGTAAAAGACAGGCAAATGAAAAACAAAGGGGATTTGTATTGATTAAGAGAAGTTCAAATATCAATATCACTAAAATGGATCAACAACACACATTCCTAATTCATCTTGAGTGAAAAATAAGATCTCCCAATATTAAAGGCATTGTTTAACAATGTTAAATCTGAGATGCATGGCCCACTTGTTATCAGTGTAATATGGTATTGAAGCCCTAACAAAATTGCGCTTCAAAATGATCACAAAGTGCCCCCAAAATAAAATCTTTGAGTGACCGGTTTTTACAATACTCATTTCCCCCCAATAGATTGTAGTGTTATAACAAACTGTTTATAATTATGAATGAAGCATGAGTTAAATCAAGGGTTTTGTTTCAGAATCTGAAGCAAAAAGATACCCAATCCTTTTAAACATACATGTAGCATTTCAGATCTGCAAACAAACATGGATGCTTAACATGTCCATAGTCATATCTCTTCTGCCATAATCATATCTGTGCTGTCAGCAAATACACTACCCAAGTACCCATTGTAAACTAAAATGTATGCAGCATATCTACATCTTCATCAAACAACTCAAAATGGTGTTCCGGCAAAAACATAAAGTAAATAGACAATACATGTTTACATAGCTGTTTATCTTTATACTATTAATATATTTTGACTTTGCAACATCAAATTACATGATAGAAATACGACCATATATGAAATTAGTAGATCATTGATTGCTTTTTACCATTATTATTAATCTTGATGTAAGTTAGTATTGTAAAAAAGTCTTCCCATGCTGCACTGTCTCCCACGAGTTTGGATTTGGAATACGGTCGATTTGTCGGGGTCATCTTGTGAGGAGGGATTGGTGATCATAAAACATATATGTTTATTGTCTTACTAACATGTTGTATTTTTGTTTGTTATTTTTTATTTGAAAAAAAAGGGGAAAAAAATTAAAAAGTATTATGAGTAATATAATTTATTTTCATCCCTATATTATATTTCAGAAGAGACATGCAGTAGTATGTTAATTTGAGTCATTCCAGGTTATTGTTATTTTTACTCTTACACTCAATTATCTACAACTGTAAGTTACACTATAATTTTGAAATTTGTTATCCAATGTATACACAAAATTGACAAAAATAATAATGAGAATGATCCTACATCTATCTGTTTGGATTGAAATCAATAAAATTTGAATTTGAATTTAAATTTGTTTACCACCCCCCCCCCCCCCCCTCTCTCAATAAAAATAGTAGGAATTGCTATTCAATGGAGCCTACTAAAGACATATTTAAATTGTAAGTTATTATTGCCTAACAATGCATCCACATGTTTTGTACATGCACCTATTCAATCTTACAATTAAATGCCTTCAATTGCCTTCTATTTGGCTGCCACTGTTGCTAAGCAACCACACAGTGGAGCGCACAGTGGTGGTTCCAAGGATTATTAAAAAGTCAACAGTGAATTATGTGTGTGTGGGCATTTAACCATGTGAAAAGTATTGAGTACATGAAGGCAGTTTCTTAAATGTCAAATAGCTAGCTTTGCATACGAGGCTTAGAAATCTGTGATAACAGGCAATTTCTTTTTGAAATACATAAGGTATACATGTTGTCTCTTAAAAGTAACCCACTGTATGTATGGCGGTTTAGTATTTATTTCCCTTTTTTTCATTCATCTTGACAATCACATCCATTCAATATTTCCACATATTTAACACATAGATAATTAGAATTAATTATCCAACATGCACATAATCTACAATGTTCTAAAAGGTTGTATCTTTCTTTTGACTCCAATCATAACAATTGTTTAAGGTCCATAATAAGAAAATGTGCAAGCAAAATCACTAAAGCAGAAAATTTAGTACAATTTTTAAACACGACATAGAATAATAATAAGTAACTTACCAATGACCAAGATTATTCGTACATGGGCCAGATTTGGTTTAGGAGAAATTGGAGGCAGGGGGCTTAATCGCTTCATATCTGCAAGGCTCGGTTCTAAAGAGAAAAGGTGAGAACAAAAAAAGACAAAATTTCAAGCCGAAATTCAAATTGCTTTTATTTCTACATTATTACAAATTATTTGCAGATGAAAAATGTATATCATCACAAACGATTAAGAGAGAATGGATTTTAGCAACACTTAAATGGTCCTTAAGAGGCTATTTAACTTTTTTTCTTCACAGCCACTCCTCTGCTTTTCACAAAGAGGGAGTTTTTCCACCCTTGGGGAACTAATCAATAGTATTGATTGTGGTTTGTATGTATTAAGGAGCATTAAATACACATGTACATTAGGTAATGGGGAATACAAACACACTGCAAGGTGTAGACGATTAACAGCCAAGAGCTGGTTGAAAAAAATAATGAACATATTTCTTTTAATGTAACTCCAAATGAGCATGAAAACGATATACATCATGTGCTATAATGATGTAATGCTATTTTGCAGCGAAACCAACAATATGGTAGATTTCACAACAAAGTTTATATTTCTGTGTGATATACACTAACAGTACTTGCAACAAATGGCACTTAATTCTAAATCATTGATAATCCAAATAGGTGATTTGAGTCAGCACTAACTTCTCTTTACATTCTTCATAGAAAAGTAAAAAAATACCCAAGCCGTATGTAGTTGTTTGTTTTTATCCCGAATCCATAAGATTTCTCTTTACTTATCTTCTTCTCAACCCCACATGCAGCTCATTATTTTGTATTATGTTTTGTACCCCTGATCACTCACCTTTTTTTTTGGCAATGTCTATACTCTTTGTATTATGACCGTGTTCTCCGATCTTTGTCATGTGAAATACTGTCTTCTCCTGATTCGTCTCTGTTGTCATCCTCTCCTTTTTCCCCTTATTTTGTAGTTACGGACTTGTTCATTTTAATTAGTCATTATTCCTAAGTATCATTTGAGGTGTCCAAACTTGTACACCCATTGCTTTTTTAGTGGACCCCTCTGTTTCCAATATGTATTCCTAAATTGTTGTAAATGTTTATAATTGATTTGTAATGTTTTGTTGGAAACACAAATAAATTGAAATTGAAATTGAAGGTTCATATATGATATGATATGAGACTGACCTGTAGTGAATGTAGGCTGCCTCGCTCCATTGTCGAGCTGGATTGGTGGCAGGGGACTGGGGGTCCGCTTTACGTTCTCCACAAATGTGTTCCATTTGACAGCGTTGGTCTTCTCTGGGCTACCTTGGACCTTCTGCAGACAATTGAGCATGTATTCTACATGGTTCTCAGGCTTGTTGTACATCAGCCCTGTCATGAGACTCTGAAAAAGGAATGGAGATATGGTATCGATTAACCCTCAATTATGATTGTTAGTTATGATGATGATTATGATGATGATGATGATGATGATGATGATGATGATGATAATAATGATAACAATAATACTATAAAAATTAACAATAATATTGATAATATTATTATCAATAATAATTTTTTTAAATTGGAGTGGACTATTAGGCTATTATTATTATTATTATTATTGTCATCATGTAACAATAGTTATAAATACTAAAAATACTAATCTACATGTAGGCCTAGATCTAATAACATTACAATATATATAAAGGAATGATAACAATAATAAATAATTAATTACATGTATTGATGTAGATCTTAAAGAAAAATGAATAAAGCATAGAGTCTACACTATGTAGAAAATATAATTCCAAATGCAGGGCTAGAGAGTCTATTTTGAATTTGACAGGGTCGGTGTGGGCGATAGTCTTCGGTTTAAGCTGGTTCCAATCATGCACTGTTCTCAGTAGTAGTAGGAGTTTGCGAATGTGTCTGTTCTTGAGTGGGTTCGTTGAAATTGCCTATGAATTATTATTGTAGAATACCAGAAACTCACATTTTTTCTGGTGGCAGCGGTGTGGGATAAAACTCTTTTACTTGTACCAGAAAACTTACATTAATAATAATAATAATAAATTTATAGACCCTACGGGCCTAGATCTATAGCTATAACTATAGCGCAGCTTGTAATTTGTATACAAAATATATTCAGCTGTGCTAGTTCATAGCTCCTTTTTTACTTAATTCTACAAAATAGAATCTCTCAATTGAACAAATATGTTTCTAATTTGGATTTGAAGACATTGCATTGAGTGATTGACTGAGACTGAGACTGCCATGGTATCCAGTGCAAGGTGAATGTAGTTGATGTAGACCCCCTACATAAAAGTCTACTTGTAAAATTACGCTTTAGACGTCGACAATCAACGAGCCAACAGTCTCAAGACAAGTTCTCAACTCTATTGTCAGACTTGACGACTCGATCGAGACTCGAGTCAATCATGCGTAAGCTTCCCCAGCCGCATCCGCATTTCCAGTATGTGGGACTACATAATCGCATAACGGGGTGAATTACGAACATTTGTAAGGCAGTTAAAATGAATGAAATATCAATATAAAGTGAAAACTCACCTCAAAAAGCTGAGGTATCTCCCTCCGAGAAAGGTACGATTTGGTGTCTTCTCTTGATGTCATTTTTATTTCCTAATATTACGTTTTTAGTGAAAAATACCAGCCACTTCGTCTGTGGCCTTACTCACTGCCTTGATGACATCCAACTAGCGCGTTTCCATGGAGTGTACTCATGAATATTCATTTCGTGGGCGGATTTGTTGTAAGACGCTGCGGTAATAATGGCCACCGGGCTTAGTCAATAATAGAAAGAATACAATAACAATGAATGAATGAATGAACGAATGCTTTCGTGGTTTTCACAATTTGTCTAACATCTTGTTTTCTCTCAGCTTGGCGAATAGAAGTGTAAAATAGGCGATTACCATAATCACGATAGACATTATACTGATGAAAGGGAATAGAGGGAGAGAGAGAGAAGATGGGTGGGGGTGGGGGAGGGGGGTTTTGATGTTGTTGTTCGTCACTAATGAGTTTCTTTTCTTTCTTTTTCCGGAGCTTGTCATTCAGTTATTTACGCCGAATCGTGTATGGAAAAATTAATTGAATAGTTCGAGCCTTCAGCCGAATGAAAATAATATAATTTGCTCGATTTCATCCAACTTGTGCGTTTGAGTAACGTACGTCCTGCTCCCCGGGGATCCTCTGATATGTGTTTGTTTGTTTATTGCTGTTGTGTTTCTTCTTGTTCTTTTGTTTGTTTGTGCAGTGTTTGTTTCCTATTCTTATTCTTATTCTTCATTACCTTTGTTTTGATTTGATTCGTTTATTTTTCATTATGTTTATGTTTTTAATATTTTTTTGTAATACTGGCTTTTGTTTGTATTATAATTTGTATATTGTTATTCAGTTCACACGGATTTTCTAAATAAACAGCCGTTAAGGCTGAGAGAGTTAGCATGTTTAAATAAGTAGATGAAATTCCATCAGCACATAGTATAAGATCAGTAATAATTGTTACTTTGTTTATGTTTAGAGAGTTTGGCGCTGGAAAAATTCAGTCCTACCTATATACCCAGATGTTGTTGTGTTTGTTTTTTTAGGGAGAGATTGCCTTCCCCTTACATACTGGACAATCGGCCTACATACTCCACAGTAAGCCCCCATCACACCAGACTCCCGCCACCACGCCCTTCCTCCCGCTCTCCCGCTTCGATGTAGATCCCGGTTTATGAAAAAAAACTTCCCGCCAAACATGGTAACCATAATTTTACCTTCTTTTTGGGGGTGGGTCAAGGTGGGGGTGTTGAGTTCATTTTTTTTTTTTTTTTTTTTTTTTGGGGGGGGGGGGGGGGGTTAATTCTTTTGATACTGAGCTCAAGATGGGCCAACACCCTGCAGCTAAGGCTACAGCTCCATATGGGTCTTCACCATAGGCGACGGAAGTGGGGTGGCAGGGGGGGGGGGGCGCAAAACGCATTTTTGCCCCCCCCCCCCCCAAAAAAAAAAAGCAGTAAAGGAGTAAAGATGGTTTGTATTTTGAACCCAAAAGAGCATAACAATAATAACAACCTGAATTTAATCACATGTAAAATACCATTCAAAGAAAAGGAAAGTTTAAAGGAATTAAATTTCCTAAACATTCCGCATGCCACCTATTTTTATCAATGGAGGTTTTAATATTAGTGATACGCGCATATATCGTGGAAATATTGTGAGAGGATGGGGTAGCGTGTGTCTTTTTTGTTATAGGGGTGAGAAGACATGAGCTCCTAACGTACTGATAGGGGGGTCATTTCTTATTCGATACCAGTGATTTACAAATGTTGCTGAAATTACATGATTTTCCGGAATACCTTTTGATGCGTTTGTTGAAAAATTAGAATTCCCAAATTTTACAGTCGGGCGAAATATATGGTTATTTAGGAGTCTTCATGTCAGGGCCTGCAGAACGGCTGGGCTCGGGGGCTCGAGCCCCCCCCCCCCTCACTTTTTGAAAAAGTATGTTACAGGGAAAAAGAAAGAAAGAGAGAAGTGACCTGCTAATGTCACAAATGTTCGATGCCTAAAACCCCAGAGCTTACAGGGGCTCAGCCCCCGGACCCCACCAAGGGCCCTAAGGCGTTTCCCTGGATGCTCATCTGACCGTAATTAAATACCTAAACCCCACCCCCACCGGAGCTCCCGGGGGCTCTGTCCCCTGGACTCTACCAAGAGCCCTAAGGCGGGCCCCTGCATGGATGCCCATCTGACCGTAATTAAATACATAACCCCCCCCCCCCGAGCATCCGGGGGCTCTGCCCCCTGGATGCTCATCTGACCGTAATTAAATACCTAAAAACCCTGAGCCTTCGGGGGCTCTATCCCCTGGACTTCCCACCAATAATATTAGTGACCTGCCAGTGTCACAAATAAGGTATATAATTATGCTTATCTGACCGTAATTGAATGCCTAAAAACCTGAGCTTCAGGGGCTCACCCCCTTGAGCCTTTGCCGGGTCTGAGGCCCTGGACCCCCCGCCAATGCTTGCTGAGTCGTTATGAAATTTTTCATCAAATTCTGGACAACAAAAAAGAAAAAAGGTGACCTTACCCCCCCCCCCCCTAACGGAACGAAATATCGATCGGCAACATTTTCAAATTTTCGGGACAAAAAGAAAAAGAAAAAAAAAATGTGCTCTTACTCTCCCCCCCCCCCCCCCCCCCCCCCCCCCGCTTATTCAGCGGCATGTTGAGTCGTTGCGAAGTTTTTTTTATCTAATCCTTGACAAAAAAAAAAAAAAAAAAAAATGTGCTCTAGCCGTCATTTAAATTGTCTGTTCTTTCAAATTTGACACTCAGTTTTTCATTATCTCACAAAAAAAAAATTATGTAGCGCCCTCTGCAACAGAACTCAACTATCCCTTTAATGAAAATGTAAGGCATAAGCTTCAAGTCAACCCATTGCCTATTAGAACTGGATGGTTCCTGTACTAAGCCTTTAGAAAAGTGAAAATCCGGTAGTCAACGGGTTAAGAAAAAATAGGGTGAAGCAACCCCCTCCCCCTCCTCCGTCTCTCTTTCTCTCTTCTCTCTCTGTTTTCTTGCCATAGAATTTTGGAGTAGAAAGAGACATGTCGCCTCCCCCCCCCCCTCCCCCTCAGTCGGTAGAGCAGTGGTCTCGTAATCCGGTAACCCGGGTTCGAAACCAAGGCGATGCGCCAGTGCCCTTTGGTAAGGCATTAATCCTCATTACCAGGTCCCTCAGAGAGGACCTTAAGCCGTTTGCCGTCTGGTTGCTTACTTACAAGCATTTATGCTTTCTTAGCAGTCAGGTAAAATAGCCACCATTAATTCCCTCCCTTCCTGCCGATGAAGTATAGATCTGCCACTGAGAATTTAACAGTAATAGACTACACTCTATAAGTTACTGGGGGCGACGTTCAATCTTCTGGATTTGGTGGGGGGGGGGGGGGTATCACTGGCCGGGGTCAGGCTGTTCGATTTATTTGGTGACCCGAGTCGGTTCAGTGTCTCCACTTGACCTCGGGGTTTATTCGTTCCTTGAGGTGGAGCTATCAACATTCATCGGAATTTGTGTCACCTTTGTCAGTACAGTATATTTTCTGAAGAGAGAATAAAGCGAGTACCAGACCATTGATAATAAACGCTTGACCATATATTATGCATAATTTAAAAGAAATAATTATTATTTTGGAGAGCAATACAAATTCTGCACTAAGGAAGGTACAGGGCTTCAGATAATTTTAAATAGAATGGCCTACATCAGATTGGGCGAGGTCTCGTCGTCATTTTCATTTCGAATAAAAGCTAGAAGGACGGGTGTGTGCTTCGGGTTCTTTGCCAACACGAATTATTTTTATCCCAAATAACATTGAATCTTGATCAGGATGTCTCGGTTGCTCTGCATGGTCGCTGTTCTAATAGCAGTTGTTGGAGTTGCTCAGGCACTGCCGGTGAGTCGGAACATAGACGTAATAGAAAACAGGGGCTATGTATAACACGGAGTTTCAAAGTGGGCATGGGAAATATCTTAGAAATTTTGTTTCTTCAGATTGTGAGATGCCTATAAGAAGGTGCATTGGATGACAAACGTGAGATGCATGAGCCTTTTCTTTCGCAGGCCTTAATTAGAAAACAATGTCCATTGATTTTAACACAATTTACCACGTACCTTGCGCGAAACAAAATTCAAATATGTAAACTAAAGTGTAGTTGGATAATGGTTTTGTAAAGACAATTTTCTCCATTATTATAGGCTCCTTGGACAATCGAATAATTTGAATTCTCTACTGTGTTAAACTTGATACAATTATAATGCAGTTTAAATTAAACTGAATATAATGCTCATACCAAAGTACAATTACTAGGCTAAAGAAAAATGATAAAGTTCGTTTTTAAATTATGCATACTATACGTGTATGAATGTATACATACATAATTATCTCTCTGTTTTTCACAAAGAAAGATTTCAGAGATATCCGTTAGTCATGCAAAGATTTTGCCTCCTGTTTCATATAGCTTCGCACTATGTCAGAAAGGGAAGCTCTTCTTCGAGATCTGTTGCGACTTATCAACTGGCTCTCCAGTACCCCCATCCCAGGTGCATTCCCGCAGGGTCGACGGCGCCCTCTCATCACATCGGACCTAATCTGCGGGGTAGTATACAGTCCTCATTCCCGCGGAGCGAGACGGTGAAGACCAAACGCGATCTGACGGTGAACATGATCTACCATCTATGTCTTCCATCGGTCGGACCGAACGACATTGATTTTATCAGGTTGATCCTTAGCGTCCTGGCTGATGACGGCCCTGATAACACCCAGGATGACGCCCCCGGTGACGCCCCTGGTAACACACAGGATGACGCCCCGGGCGACGCCCCGGGTGACGGCACCGTGGAAGATGCGTGGGTGATTGGCAAGACATCAAAGCAGAAAGAGAACACGTTCTAGATGCCATCAGCTCGTTTTCAGACTGGTGGTTAGGAGAAGGCATGGATCAGCTCGTTTTGTGACTGGTGGTTAGGAGAAGGCATGGATCCAGGATTCTGTTTAAATAAAAGAAGGCGGTATAATTCCGAGCAATCTCTGACAAGAAAGAACACAAATCATGTTTCAGTTTATAGGCCTACATGACTTTTAGATCAAATATTTGAAAATGGGCTCATGAGAACAATAAAGAGCAAATGTTTATTCTTTGTACTTAAGGTAACCAAGACCAAGAGTAGATTTTAAAAGAAGTTGGTTGGTTGTGCCCTCCCCCCCCCCCCCCCCAAAAAAAAAAAAAAAAAAAAAATTAATTAATTAAAAAAAATAGACCTACTTATAAATATTTTAATGATTTTTGAGCACACCGGATAAGATGTAAAACAGAAGTGTCCACGATGACATTGTATGCTTTATTTGATCCTTGTTCAATGGATTCTTTATTTCTTTACGGTGGCTTTAAGACCTCAATGGTCTCTCCCCCCCCCCCCCTCCCCCCCCCCCCCCATAAGCGTGTCGAAAAATTGAGGCCATAATATTATTGATGTAAAGTAAAAGTTTGAGGCCATGTAAATCTCCCCATTTTGTTCTCATAATATAATATCAAGCAAGAAAGAAAAAGTAGAGTTAATTACAGCAATGGGGGAGAGATAGTGGGAGAGGGGAGATAATAAAGAAAGTGAAGGCTCGACGAAGAGAATGCATAACGATTACATGAGTAAAACAATGTTGATGAAGAAAAAGGGAGAGAGTAAGAGACGGAGAGAGAGAGAAAGAGAGAGAGAGAGGGGGGGGGGTTAGAGAGAGAGAGAGAGAGAGAGAGGGGGGGGCGGAGGGAGATATATTATATATTATATAAATAAAGTGAGAGAGAGGGGGGCGGAGGGAGAGACAGATAGAAAGGAGTGAGAAAGAGAGAGGGGCGCGGAGGGAGATATATTATATATTATATTATATAAATAAAGTGAGAGAGAGAGGGGGCGGCGGAGGGAGAGAGAGAGAGGGGGCGGAGGGAGAGACAGATAGAAAGGAGTGAGAAAGAGAGAGGGGCGCGGAGGGAGATATATTATATATTATATTATATAAATAAAGTGAGAGAGAGAGGGGGCGGCGGAGGGAGAGAGAGAGAGAGGGGGGCGGAGGGAGAGACAGATAGAAAGGAGTGAGAAAGAGAGAGGGGCGCGGAGGGACATATATTATATATTATATTATATAAATAAAGTGAGAGAGAGAGGGGGCGGCGGAGGGAGAGAGAGAGGGGGGCGGAGGGAGAGACAGATAGAAAGGAGTGAGAAAGAGAGAGGGGCGCGGAGGGAGATATATTATATATTATATTATATAAATAAAGTGAGAGAGAGAGAGGGGGCGGCGGAGGGAGAGAGAGAGGGGGGCGGAGGGAGAGACAGATAGAAAGGAGTGAGAAAGAGAGAGGGGCGCGGAGGGAGATATATTATATATTATATTATATAAATAAAGTGAGAGAGAGAGGGGGCGGCGGAGGGAGAGAGAGAGGGGGGCGGAGGGAGAGACAGATAGAAAGGAGTGAGAAAGAGAGAGGGGCGCGGAGGGAGATATATTATATATTATATTATATAAATAAAGTGAGAGAGAGAGGGGGCGGCGGAGGGAGAGAGAGAGAGAGAGAGAGACAGAGGAATAATTTTAGTAACTACCATATTTCGCTTGTCCACTTGTTCCAAACCCCAAAACATCTAGTATATCCTTTTCTCCCCCACCTGTCTCTTCTGTCTCAATCTCTCTCCGCCTCACTCCCGCTCTCCCAAAACTATATTCTTCTGCCACCCCTTCTCTCTCTGTCTGTCTCTCTCTCTCTCTCTCTTTCTCTCTTTCTCGTTCTTCTTTTTCCCTCACACTATTACTATTTCTCACACTCTAACTTTCTTTCACGACTTAAACTTCATCAAATCTCTTACTATTTTCTGTCCTCACAAAATTTAAAATTTGCTCATTTCAATCCTGCTGACTGTTTGTCAGTGCTCATTACGATTTACATGCAGGTTAGGTTTATGTACAAATATTGTTATAAAATAACAGCACTGCGTTCATTTGTTTCAATTTTAATATATTGTTAACAAAAGTCTAGAACATGACCTAGCTTCATATTTTAACCACTGGTAAAAAAGTAAACCTTAATATTATGTAGAATCGGGGAAGCCCCCTTCCTATCCCTCATTTGGAGGCACAGAAATAAATAGGATGAGAATAATTATGACTGTTTCTCCATCTACTATTTTTTTTTTCATAGGTTTTTATTCATTTCTCTCAAAGAAAAATTGTACATTTATAACATTGGATACAAAATAACAAAATAATTTAACATATAGGTCTTTATAAATTTACCAATGATCTTTTAAATTTACATACAAAAGTTACACCTCTTCATTTTCCTTTGGAGACAATTTTTTTTTTTTATATATATATAAAAAAGAGAAAAAGCTACAAAACACCTATTACCCCCCACCCCCACCCCACACAACATTTAAACACATACCATGTACAACAGTATACACAACACACACTAACATAGAACGAACAAACAAACAAAAGTAGAGGGGAAAAAAAAGAAGAAAAAAAGAGAGAAGAGAGGAGGGTTAGGAAGTTGTATATTGAGAAGAAAAAAAAACTGAAAACATTTATTCTAAACTTTCCAAAGCTTCCCATTTCCTTAAATGAATTGAAAGTGTGTCTCTTTCCATTGAACGTTTTTTCTCTTCATTTCTATTTCCCAACAATCTATATTCTATTTCTTTTGCTTTTGGAGGGTTTCCCTTCTCTCTACTGTGGAAAATCATATATTTAATCAAAATTAAAATGTGGTTCAATAATTGCTCTGTTTTAAAAGAAGTGTCATCTATTCTATACTATGATTTCTCTTCCATAATCGATTCCTTATTTAGATGAAAGAAACTGGTTCACTACTTAATGATGTTTCTTACAGCCACACAATTGTGTTTATTTGTTATGGGCGTTTCCGACACAAGCCTTGCTTTCCTGGTTTCCGCCTCCAATGTGTTAAATTATTGATATGTACTTACAGGGCACCGTTTCACGAAACCGCCACAAGTATACAAGTTCACCGACAAGCCGCTGAAATGCGTGTATTCAATTTAACACGTGTTTCATTATGGTTTCGGTGAACTTGTACTCAAAACGATTTTGTGAAACGATATGTTTTATTACATTGTACCGAAAAACAGTGTGACTTTCAGTTAAAGGGATAGTTAAAGGGATAATAAAAAACTGAGTGTCAAATTTGAAAGAACATACAATTTAAATGACAAAATCATCTTTGTTTGATCAAAATCGGTTCAGAGACAGCTGAAATATCCATAAATATAACGATTTCTAAAACTTGTGTACCACCACAAATATCAGATAATTTGAAAAAGCCGTTAAAAAACGAAATATCGCCTTTTACGTCTTATCTCAGCTAATGCCGATGTTGGCTTTTTTGTTGGCATTTTCGTGTTGGTTATTCATAAATTTAACGATTTCTATATTATGCACAACCAGCCTGCCCATGTATTGTTATTTTTAATTAAATAATTAATTAACGGTCACGGTATTTTTTTTTTAAATGGAGCTGAATTGGTATGATCGTATTGGCTAAATTTCAGACATTTTGGGGTCTAAAATTACCTTCATAGCAATTTTAGGTTCTAAAAAGGCACTAGAAATGTCATAGATAAGAATAAGAGCAATAACCATGCACTTTGAAGGCACTTGCGGTCTGAAAACAGAACTCAACTATCCCTTTAAAGTCACGACATTTATCTTGTATCTAGGATCGCATGTCATTGAAGAGTTCGATGGGCGTGTAGTTTTTAAAATGGGGGCGATCAGCGCACAACTTGTTGTCACCTAGTCCAATGTGCTTTGGGTCATTGTTGTGCATCATGAAGAAACAACTGTAGTGGAATAAAGAAGGTGAAGGAGAAAAAGGAAGGGGGGGGTAGTCATAATCATTTGTTAGTTATACCTTTGAATAATCGATTATGTATAATTTTGATGTATGATGTAGGTTTCTATATGCATTAACAAAACAATATTATTTGACACTTCACATTATACATTCAGACGATATTGTACTGTCGTTCAAGAATATATCTATTAAAGTACGGAGGGGCATTGAGATCGTTATGGGTAGGTATTTTAGATGAAGGGACTTGAGAGAAAAGTGCTGAAAAAGAGAGAAGAAAAGGAGTGAAAGACCCCCCCCCCCCATCCCCTTTCCTCTTCCCTTTGCCTCTCTCTCTCTCTCTCTCTCTCTCTCGTTCTTTCTCTCTCTCTCTCTTTCTCTCTCTTTAAATTAAATCAAAATTTAGTTTGCTTGCATATCGTTAGGACTGTGTTAAACATAAAGGTAGGGATCTTAAAGACCGTCCTCTAAAACGAAAACAAGACAGTAACAAAAAAACACGACAACAATAAAACTAATAATAACTATAATAATAATGATGATGATAAGGATAACAATAATAATAATAATAATAATAATAATAATAATAATAATAATAATAATAATAATAATAATAATAATAATAATAATAATAATAATAACGATAAAAATGATAGTAATAGTAATAAATATAATAATTTCATTTCATTTCATTTATTTATTTAAGCATGGAGGCCTACCTCAGCCCGCGGACTGTTCTTCCGTAGGGCCGTGCATACATAAAAACATACAATATCAATATAACATTATAATCATCAATGGCTCTTGATTCCATAATGATAATAATAGTAATAATAATATGTCTTGTTTTCCCAGGGTAGCCACATCGGTATCAATACTGTTCTCCCTGGGGGCCCTGCACTCCTAACAGTATCCCCGTACAAACAGGCCCCTCTTTACTCACCTTGTTTGCGGTAGTCCGATCTCGGTTTCTGCGAATGTCAAGATCTTGCCAGCGCGCTCACGGTTAAGGTCGGGGTCTTCAGATACACCGATGGCGTGAAGCTCGAAGAATCCCCAGTCGACATCGGGATTGGCCGCCCGGCACATTTTCTTGCCCGTCCGTAGTTCGACGGTGATCGACTGAAAGATAGAATGATAGTAAGGGTTTAAAAACATGATCAAAGGACAGTAAGGGGTTTAAAAACATCATCAAAGGATAGTAAGGGTTTTTTAAAAAAAAATGATCAAATAAACTTCTGAAATTATATGCAGAATATAATGGGGACAAAGATGACAGCCCCCCCCCCCACCCCGATGACAAAAAGACAAGATAAAAGTGAAAGGAGAGAGAAGAAACAGAGAGAGAGAGAGAGAGAGAGAGAGAGGGGGGGGTGGGGGAGAGAGAGCGAGATAGATTAGAAAGAAAGAAATTGAGAATGAAAAGGGAATGTAAAATTAAGATCCCTATCAACGTCCTGACCCGAACATAACTTGGTGTCTTCTTCTTCGCATTGTATCAACCAGGTAAGACCGTCCCATGCCAGTCCCCCTCAATGCACTGATCTACACGCGACTAAACTTAATATAACTTTTTCATGGAACTCAGCATAGAATTCATTGCTGTATATTAATTCGAAGTGTCAAGGGGTACACCCCCACCTCTTTCCATTGATGGCGAAATTAGAGAAAAGAAATAAACAGTTGAACCAACGACCATCCTCTACAACGTCACTTAAAGGCCGACGTAGTTACTGATATTGGCTGCACCCACGCTGTAAAAGGCCACCAGAGGGTTAGGCTATATAGTCATACATAGCATTTTTCAAACAAAACTATGATCGATTAATTTTGAGTGTTAGGAAAGACAATAATTTCATTCTTTTTGTTTTGCCTTGTGTTACCAATACCATTATGACAAGGTATGGTTACAATTTCTATTGAATGAGGTGCGATCACTTTATGTTCTCCTCATCTTGCCATTGCATTGCGGATTGTCTGACAGACTTACCAATGATATTTTACCAATTGGTCTTAAAAAATGACAGCGTGTCCAGACATACCCCCCCCCCCTCCCGTGTATTGTATACACCCATTGATGATATCATTGATGGGAGAGGGGCGGCCCCACGTATCCTGGCTACCGTTGTACAGGCGTATGTGCACAATTATTAATTGGATCCCAAGTCCCTGGTTGGTTGGTTTATTTTACCTGACTGCTATAAGAAAGCATGTGTATAATCAGGCCTGTGTATAATATGCTTGTAAGTAAGCAACCAGGGGACCGACAGTTTCAAGTCCTTTCCGACGGACTGGATATGAGAATTAATGCCTTTTCACTTACCGTTTCGTTGGATCCTGTCATCTCGGAGATGATCTTTGAAAGCTTCGAATGGACTTCATCGCTGACTCGATCTGCAGACATATTGGTGTGAAAGATACACAGAGGCATCTTGATCAATTCTTGTGAATTAGCAACAAAAAAGCTGAATCAAGAGTGTTCCAGATCATGAGACGTAAGAAAAATCAGGTCCAAAATGCAAATAAGCTATGAATTTTAGATTTCTAGAGTCAATTTTTACTCTAAAAGCACAAAAGAGACTGAAACAAATGACCGCAAAAAACCGAAGGAAAGACCGTGTCTAGAAACCATGGAAAGTAGTAAAGTTCACATATTATGCGACACACTAAAGCTGATGAGAAAAAAATGAAAGAGAATACCAGGCCAAGAAAACGAAAAACCTAACAGCGTAGTAAAGTGGTCTCTTGCACGTGACGTGACGAAAGCAAAATGGAAGCAACGTCATAACTAGGACTAAGTCCGTGATCAGAGCCAGCAAGATGACCTCGATGCATAGGAATGATACCAGTACAATTAAGTCATTGTTTCTTATTTTTGTCTTTACTTTATAGAGCGTAGAATGATACCAGTACAATTAAGTCTTTATTTCTTATTACTTTACTTTATAGAGTGTTAGAATGATTTTTTTTCCCCTGAACTTATACCTGCATAATTATTTCACAAGGTTTTTTAACAAAATTATTACCATCTTCACTTCTTCCGTTTTCTTCTTCTTCTTCTTATTGCTTGCTTACTCTTGGTTTGCACAGTTTGGAAGCTGATGTAACGTATTTCAAATGAGACCTTATTAAACATATTTTGAATTACTTTTCTTTTCTCTATACGAGCTTAGTATATCTATATAATACTTTCACATTTCGCTGCAGTTGATATAATAAGAAATACATTTCACTCGATAATACGCTACGGTTAGCTAGCTGCGAAATTCAAGTGCAGTAACAACGCGCCATTCAAATTTAAGAATTTTAAGTACCATTTCATTTATTTCAATATAGGATATTTATCACTGTACAGTCATTCATTTTTGTTCTCTTTCCATGTTGTGTGTTTCGCAAAGTTTTTGAATTTTTAAGGAACCGTGCATTTTAGATTTCACGATAATTATATACATTTTGTTATAAAAGCATAAACTTTAAAAAGCTATCATTTTTTTAAATGCAAGTAAAACAACAATGCCATCTGCAAAACGGAGACCTACAAGATGTTGTCACACAGAATTCTGTATTGCATGAGCAATAAATTTCCTTTCGCAAGTTTGATGAAAATCGATAAATGTCAGGTAGCGCCAAGCAAACATATTTTAAGAGTTATATATATTCTTATATTCACCAGCAAGATATTGCAGAAATAACTGAACCCCCTCCCCTCCCCCTCCCTCCCTCCCTCTCTCTCTCTCTCTCTCTCTCTCTCTCCCTCTCTCTCTCTCCCTTTCTCTCTCTTTCTCTCTCTCTCTCTCTCTCTCTCTCTCTCTTTTTAGGCACTGACGAATTTAGTGGGGGCAAAACCTGCCAATGCCCACCCCCTAATTGAACCCGAAATGGCATACGCCCTTTAGTACATAAAGTGAAATAATATATTCATATTGTGCCCTCTGTTTTGCAACATCCTGGAACCCTGTCCCTTTTAGATGTAGGCTTTTTACTTTTGACGGTACCCGTTTCCATGATAACTTTTAAGTTTTGTCATGTTTTCCATTCTTGATTTTCGTCGCATGTACGAGATGGCTTGCGCAAAAAATGATTTGAAATGCCATGTTTGCATTTTAAAACAGAGAGAAAGAAGCTGATTGATAGATCATTATAGACATACTTTTGACGGTACCCGCGTTAATCTTCTACCTTGGCGCGGGCTGATATTACATTAATCTAGAGTGTCCTCGGTCTTCATTTAAAAAATCAATCCTTCCAGTCACATTCCTGTAAAGTTATTCCTCCAAAAGTGAAGACAGGAAGGCTAAACCTTCAGAAGAAGACCAATTTGTCATATCGTCGATTTTCATCTAGTCTTCAGTGAGGGTATTTTTGCTATTTCGCCTCCATTTTTAGGTGTTTTTTCCGAGCGGCCCGGGTCATCATCTTCTTCATCATGATGCTACGATGTGTGGTACATGTAAACACACCAGCCTGCAAGCTATCTGACTCCTTCAGAACTCAACTGGCGACAATGGTTGCGAAACGATATGATCTTCAAACAGAGGTGAGCTTCAATAATTTCCAAAAACGTTTTTACTACGTTCCACTTTTTAACATAATGTGATTTGTCGTTATTTTGTATCATTTCGCCCAAAATAATAGACTACTACATATTCCTGCCTTGAGTAAAGATATTTAATCGATAATAAGGTCGACATTACTTTTAGGCCTATGAAAAACGTTCGCTTTGACATGTTAGTACATCTCTCTCTCTCTCTCTCTCTCTCTATCTATCTCTCCCTCCCCCTCTCTCTCTCTCTTTCTCTTTCTCTCCTTTTCTCTCTACCTCGGAGAGAGGGCAAATGAATGGGGAAAAAATGGGGGGGGGGGCAGATGTTGTGCGTATTATGGGTTTTACTTCGTTGGATTAGATCATCAACTATCAGAGAAAAATCAGAGGTGGTAAGGGGTTCGTACCTATAAAAGAATATGGAACAGGCACCTATTAGAAAAGAAAAAGGGGCACTTATCTGAAGTAAAATGGGGCTCTTTTTCTATGTAAAAAAGGGCACTGTGTCGGTTACTTGAAAAAGTGAAGGCACTGTACCCCCTACCCCCCCCCCCCCTCCCCCTCAGAAGCGCCGCCTCTGCCACCAATAAGAAAAGGTGTGTGAGGCCCGGGTCCCCCTAGCTCCTGTTCATTCGCTTCCCTTGATTTCTAGCTTTCTTTCTTTCTTTCCGTCCTTTTCATTTCTTTTTTCTCATTTCACTTTATGAGATGAGGACAGTACAAGTTCAATTGCATTACTGATTACTGAAGCATGACATTATGTGATTCTACACCCAGGTGCACTTATTGGTTAGTCAAAGAGATGTTTGGTACTACAAAATCGAAAAATAACAACGAATACAGACAAACTAAAGCATCATGTCTTGCCCTCTTCAGCAGGCACGTAGCCACGGGAGGGGGGGGGGCACGGGGGGCATGTGCCCCCCCCCCAAAAAAAAATCCGAGATCGATTGAATTTTTTAGACCCCTCCCCAGGACGTCGATCAATTATATGTGCCCCCCCCCCCCCAAACATCAAACTCTGGCCACGGCCCTGCTCTTCAGAGAAAATAGCAAGAATCGCAAGCCAAAATCGGACTTTAAAACGAAAGATAGAGGGGAAAAGGCACGCTAGAAAACAACGCGCTGTGATTAGCTGCCGGAAAAACATTAGAAAGACTGTATTCGTTGCTTTTCTTCCAATTATTTAATCCGTTTACAGTATGATTGCACTCTTTCAGGAGGAAATCAGGGGACCCTGGAATATTGTGAGAACGAGTACACCCCCCCCCCTCCCCACCCTCCCCGCTAGGCGGGATGCTGGCTAGATATTCATAACAACCTGCTTTCCTGGCATCAACAACCGATTGATAATAAATCAAAACAGTTAATGAATTATTAAAGGGGGTGTTTCACAAAGACTAAGATCGAGTTTTAGTTGGACTTAACTATGGCAGGCCGCTCATGCCACTGTTTGCTCTCACCATTATGATCTTTATATAATATTTTTCCTTCCTTTGAAAGACTAATGCCAGTAAATAATGAGAGCAAACAGTGGCATGAACGGCCTGCCATAGTTAATTCTAACTTAAAGTCGATCTTAGTCTTTGTGAAACACCCCCTTGATGCGTTTATTTGCGTTGATCTTTGCAGAACATCATTGTTTTAATTCGAGAAGGCCTTCGCCTCATGCGAGCAGGGACCAAGGATGCTTGTGGCTATATCGAACTGTTTGGTTGTGATGCTATCTTCGACGATGCAGAGAAAAATAGAGAGGACACAACAGCTCTGATTCAGCTCTTACAGAAAGAATCAGGGATACCTCTTGCAAGGTACGTTCCATCACTCCTAACTACTTCTTTCCTGCACTCTATTCTTGTTAACATCGCAACAACTTAATCTGGATTTTGTTAGTCTGGGTGTCACGGGGTCACAGTATATTACTTTTATGATGAAACTTCATTAGAAAATGTTATTTTCTGTTCTCACTGAGGTTTAAGTGTTTTGTGTGTGTGTTGTGTTTTGTTGTGTTATGTTGTATTATGTTGTTTTGTTTTGTTTTGTTTTGTCTTTTAACAAAAATTGCTTTCTGATGTTATAATCTTATCTGTTTCTTCCCCCACTTTTCTTTCATCTTACATTTCTTGTATTACTTTTCTCCTCTCGTCCTTCTTTTGTCTTCTTCGGCAACTGTCCATGACCCATCGGCACGCATCGGCCGCATTAAAAAAAAAATATTGTGCTTTTATTTCACTGTGCTCATGGCTCTGCTCCACATTAGAACATTACAATATTTGATAAATCATTCCATTCTGTCCAGACCTGTACCCTTTCAAAACTTCGAATTTCTTGTTCTACCTTAAAGTGACTCGGTAACATTGTTGAAGGTTGATGAAAAAAATTGCTTAATTTTCGTATAAAATGTTACTTACTATATTCCTTCTACTATACTAACCCTCTGACATGCAACAAATCCTGAACAAATTCTCAAACCACAAAGATATCTATGGTTTTCTTTGAAGGCGTCGATGTGAGGCACCCTCTAACAGTGATTAACAGTAAATTCTCACAACCATTTTTGAATTTTCCCAACCGTTTTTCCATGAGAAAAATACATAAAACAGGCTATAAAAATCTGTCAACACTTAACTGTCCGGAGTGGAATGTTGAGCCATTTTAGTGCTTTGTGACGATTTACATTGACCTAAAATGTAATTTAATTGTCCTTGTCTTGATGCTGAACAGGCTTTGACAAGTAGCAGAATAGAAGTAGAATAATATAGTTGGGAGAATTAAGGAATCGATCAGATCAGTTTTCCCCAAATTGTACCATGAACAAAGATCCGTTTTCACTAAAATTTTCAGATTATCTTTAATTGTACATCCAGCATTGAAGTCATTACCTTAGCACCACTATCTCTCATCTGAACAATGTTACAAAGTCCCTTTAACTCGACACTAAGTGGGTGTGTGGGGGGGGGACCTTTTTACATGCAGTGCTTTCTCTTTGGAATGCTGTCCCTCAAAAGATTCGTAGTATCAGATCAGTCGAAGCGTTTATCATAATCTTAAAACGTATCAATTAATAGTTGTTCTTTCATTGTCGTATGTTCTACCCCCGCCCCCCCCCCCCCCCCCCACTCCGAGAACGGACGGACCCCATGCGTGTTACCAAAATGTCCTTATCGTAACAAAAGAAAAAGGTTGGCCCGTATTGACTTTACACTCCGGACTTTTGCTGAAAAGGGGGGGGGGGGTGCTGAAAAAGGCTCGTATAACAAAAGATAAAGGTCGACCCGTATTGACTTTACACACCGGACTTTTGCTGAAAAGGGAGGGGGGTCGCTTGGAACACGCATATGCGTACCCTAAATGACACTGAGTGGGGGGGGGGCGGGGTTCTACCTTACTCGTGTCCTTTCTATCAATGCTTCCTACCATACCATATTTCTTTTTTACATTTTGTTTTTTACAAAATGGGAAATTGTAAATCATGTGATATTGTTCATTGCAGACTCTTCGTTCTCATGCGACCACAATGGAGTACAAACTGGGGCAAGATCGGCGGGCAAAGTTTAGTCATGGACACTTGAAATATCTCCACATTTGCTGTTTTTGCTGGTACTTTCCTGGCACCATCATTGTCAGCCGATATGTTAATGTTTCCTGAAGATTACAAACAGAGTATTTCTTCGTTTAGGATATTCCCAGGTATTTGGTAATTTGCTGTCCAGGGGGGTGTTTCACAAAGATCCTAAGTTGAACTTATCTCTAAGTTGGACTTAAAAATTATGGAAAGCCATTAGCATCTTTGAAAATATTTTGTAAAAGTTATTTTGAAAGGCATTATTTGTTTATTCATATCATTCATATTGTCTTTTATCAAGGAGATTTCATGTTCTGGATGTGGAATTCATAAAAAGTCTAAAATACTTGAATTTCTGCTTTTGAATATATTTCATTTTAAGACTCCAATGGCTGTCCATAATTTTTAAGTCCAACTTAGAGTTAAGTTCAACCTAGGATCTTTGTGAAACACCCCCCTGGGGCCCGTTCCTAGAAACCGTCATAAGTCTAACTTCTTGACTATCCTATTGAAACGTGTCGTTTCAATAGGATAGTCAAGAAGTTAGACTTATGACGGTTTCTAGGAACTGGCCCCCGGGGTCCTTCTTACAACCGGTAATGCCACAATAACGCATAACCTCATTACCATGATCATCATTGTAACATTACATGTTGTAACAAGGCCTATACTATGTTGCGTTGATTCTACTATAACATAATGTTTATATACTTAAATGTTCCTATCAGGGTTTTTTTTTTTTGTCGTTCACCTTTGATCTTTTAGTCAATTTCAAGTCAATTTCTATTTTAAGTATATAGAATTGATGTAACAAAGTTACAATTTGTAATAAAGTTTTAAGTTAACAGATATTAGGCCGTAGAAAAGTAAGATATTCTGAAGATTGTTCATATTTTTCGAAATATTGTTATATTAGAATAAATATAGGATGTTTAATTTCTGGTAAATACTGAAGTTTCCATGATAACTTTCAAGTTTTGTCATGTTTTCCATTCTTGATTTTCGTCGCATGTACGAGATGGCTTGCGCAAAAAATGATTTGAAATGCCATGTTTGCATTTTAAAACAGAGAGAAAGAAGCTGATTGATAGATCATTATAGACATACTTCTAAGTGTATCAAAGTAAAGGCGTCGACTGAATGGACTGGAAGGGGGGGGGGGGGGCGGTCGTGGCGATTTACATTAATAATTCTTGCGATCAACTCGCCCACCCCCTCCCCCATCATTAAACATGAATCGACACCCTTAGAATTTTTTTCTGCTAAAAGCATACAATGAGTTTAATATTCAAGATAGCTCAAGCATTATGTGCTAAAGTCATGAATGCATACATACAAACAATAACTGCATACATACAAACAATAAATGAATAAATAAATAAACATTTAGAGGGTCCGAGAATCAGGGACAACATTTTCGGAATGGTAGATTTACACTTCAAACATGCTGGATCTAACAGTATAAAGGCCCTTATAAATTTGTCATTTGACATTTTGGTTGTTATTGTGTTGTGTCCTTTTTATGTTAAAAAAGGGATCATATCTCTAAATGTGGATAATCTCTTTATAATTTATGATTTAATTAAGAATATTCAATTCTATGTAATTTCATTTTGCCTTTAAAAATGTCATCGTCTGGCTTTGTAAAACTTTGAATAAAAAGAAATGCCAAGGTATAAAATGTCTAGTAACTTGTTGTCACTGCAAAACTGCATCTGTGATATAAAGAATTGGATGTCCATTAACAAGTTGAAATTGAACGACAGTAAGACAGAGTTTTTTGTATTGCTGCTTCACCACACAATTTCAGAAAATTGCCAGACATAACTCTCACCATAGGAAATATTTCCGTAAAACCTACAGACACAATTAAAAACTTGGGCGCATTCTTTGATGTTCATATGAGTATGAATTCACATATTAACAATGTTAGTAGAACGGTCACTTTTCACTTAAGGAACATATCACGAATTCGTAGATATATTGATCAATCAACTTGTCATCATGCTGTAAGGTCTTTAATTCTCTCTAGACTTGATTATTGTAATGGACTTCTTTCCTCTCTTCCAAAGTTACATGTAAACCGTCTCCAGCGCCTACAAAACTGGGCAGCACGTCTTGTGTTTGAGGTCGGTAGAAGTCATTCAGCTCAACCATTAATTAATTCCCTTCACTGGCTTCCAATTCTACGGAAGCGTTAAAGTGCCATTCTACTTGACGACATGACAAGATATTTCATCTTGTCAAGTCGACATAATATCCATATCATGTCGACATGTAAAGATATTTAACCTGCCATGTCGACTTATCAACTTTTATTAGTCGACATGGCGAAATAAATTATCTTGCCAAGTCGACTTCACAAAAAGTTCATGTCGTCATGGCGACATAAGTTATCTTACCAAGTCGACTTCTAAAAAAATACATGTCGTCTTGGCGACATATATTATCTTACCAAGTCGACTACCCAAAAAGTAATGTCGACATGGCGAAATAAATTATCTTGCCAAGTCGACTTCACAAAAAGTTCATGTCGTCATGGCGACATAAGTTATCTTACATGCACCATCAATGGTGATCGTGAGGCGACCGAGGGACTGGGATCAGGACTAAAGTCACTAGACCTAGACTAGTCGACTGTGAATGAACTACACGTACACGCGCTGCATGAAATAGTCGTCACACTACATATCTCGCCATGACGACATATACTTTTTGGGAAGTCGACTTGGTGAGATAATTTATGTCGCTATTACGAGATGAACTTTTTTGTGAAGTCGACTTGGCAAGATAATTTATTTCGCCATGTCGACATTACTTTTTGGTAGTCGACTTGGTAAGATAATATATGTCGCCAAGACGACATGTATTTTTTTAGAAGTCGACATGGTAAGATAACTTATGTCGCCATGGCGACATGAACTTTTTGTGAAGTCGACTTGGCAAGATAATTTATTTCGCCATGTCGACTAATAAAAGTTGATAAGTCGACATGGTAGGTTAAATATCTTTACATGTCGACATGATATGGACATTAAGTCGACTTGACAAGATGAAATATCTCGTCATGTCGTCAAGTAGAATGGCACTTTAACGCTTCCGTACAATTCAACAGCGAATCATTTTTAAGTTACTCTTATATGTCTATAAATCATTGCACCACCTAGCTCCTAATTACCTGTCTAATTGTTTAACTTTATATACACCAAGCAGAAATCTCAGATCTTCAAATGATAACCTCCGTCTAAATTATCCAATTACACGTGTCCAAGCCGGGGATAGGACTTTCACGGTAGCAGCATCCAAAGGGTGGAATAATCTCCCCATGTCCATCAGACAATCTGCCTCTATCGATATTTTTAAAAAGGCTCTGAAAACTCATCTCTTTACATGAATTCTCCTCTATGTTTAATTATTTAATTTAATTAATTGAATTTAATATTTTATATGGAATATCTAATTGTAGCCTTTAATTACTACATGTAGTAAAGACCAATAATATTATTTGATGTTAGCGCTCTGAGCCTTATGGGAATGGCGCCCTAAATGTTCATTGTATTGTATTGTATTATAGTAATATCATTGCCTGTAATTATGTACCCTTTGTTGGGTTAAGGAAATTTCGATGGATATTTGTTGTTTATTTTCCCGTGGTCTTCATAGTGAATTGAAAGGAGACTTAGTGAGGGTGAGGGTGAGGGAGAGGAAGAGAGAGAGAGAGAGAGAGAGAGAGAGAGAGAGAGAGAGGGGGGGGGGGGGTATAGAGAGAGGGGAGAGAGGTAGAGAGAGAGAGAGAGGGGGAGAAAGCAAACAGAGACCGAGAGAGCAGGTGGGAGAGAGAGAGAGAGAGAGAGAAGAAAAAAATAGAAATAGAGCAGAGAGAAAGAGAGGGGAGAGAAAGAGAGATAAGAGAGAGAAGGCGATAGAAAGATTGTGGAGCGATTTAAAAAAAATCTTTTCATACGTGATTTTGAGAATACAGTTTATTGGAAAGAATGGTACAATATACAAGTTTGCCATATCAAGCAACAATTGTTGATTCACTCAAAGTCTTGTTATACAAAGTGAATATTATCATCAAACGGCTGCATCATTATACGCAATGCTGAAACTTTGGTTTACTAAAAGTACTCTCCCACTCTTTCCCTCCCTCTCTCTCTCTCTCTCTCTCTCTCTCTCTCTCTCTCTCTCTCTCTCTCTCTCTATCCCTCTCTCTCCCCTCTCCTGGTCGAACAAGTATCATTTGATGAATTGTTTTTGCCTCAAAAAAATGTAAGATGTCGGTCAGTTATCATGAAGACTCAAGAAAAGGTGATGCAAATGAAAAGAGTGAAGTTCGAACTTTATTCACCTTTTCTGAACTTCTTGTGAAGCTGAAATAATAATAGTAATAATATTTTTGCTTATATAGCGCTTAATTCGTCGGGAATGTCCGAATTTCTAAGCGCTTAACAATATTACCCAGGTCATCGGATTTTGACTCGCCCGCACACAATGTATGCACTTTCTCCACTCCCTGGGTAGCATTCCAACAGGGCTACTAGGCTAAAATTGCTAAGCATACCACATTGGCTTTCGCACCCTACTGGGTACCCATTTAACACCTGGGTGGATAGTGGCAAACATAGATCAATGTCTTGACAAAGGACATTAGTGCCGCGGCGGGACTCGAACAGCGGACCTTGTGATCGACAGTCCGGCCCGCCCCCCCCCCCCCCCCCCACTCAGTGTTATTTAGGGTACGCATATGCGTGTTCCAACCGACCCCCCCCCCCCTTTTCAGCAAAAGTCCGGTGTGTAAAGTCAATACGGCTCGACCTTTTTCTTTTGTATACGAGCCTTTTTCAGCACCCCCCCCCCCCTTTCAGCAAAAGTCCGGTGTGTAAAGTCAATACGGGTCGACCTTTTTCTTTTGTTACGAAAAGGACATTTTGGCAACACTCATGGGGTCCGTCCGTTCTCGGAGTGGGGGGGGGGGGGGGGCGGGCAGTCCGGTGACATATCCACTCGACCACAACTCCTCTACATATAATTAAATAGAGACTTTACTACTTGTGATTGTTACAAGCAATTCCACTAATTTCCTGAGATGATCTACTTGCAAGAGAATTACAAGGCATTTATATATTTTATGGTCTTGGTCAGGGGAAACCCCTTATTGATAACCTAGAGCAAACCAAGCTAGAAACAAGTTA